CGTTTTCCAAGCAAGAGCGTTACTATTGGACTAATTACCAGTGCCTTTAATAACTTAATACAGTAACCTACTTATTAATAACAAAATTGTAAGGAAATTAAAGATATGCATAAGTAAGTTATGAGTCAAAAAGAATGTGCTTCATCTATACATATTATAAAAAACAAAGTTCCCCACCGCGTCTGACTGTCTGTCTGTCTGTCTGAACGTGATAAGCTCAAAAACAACTGAACAGATTTTTATACGGGTTTCACCAATGCTCGGAGAGATTCTAATTAGTATAAGATATTTCACAATAAATACAATTCAAATCAAAGCCTTTTGTTATTTATTACACTCCATAGGTTTAGGTTGTTAAGTAAAGATAAACAATACATAAAACAGGTTCTTTTAGATGTCGTTCTTTCTCGTTTCAATATGTTTTGTGATCAAAATAACATCTTTATACTTTAAACTAAATTCTAACAATTTTATTCTTGTGTAATAAGGTCCTGCGTTTAATATTAAACTTATACACTTGGGAACAATTTATGATTTAAATTTATAATGTATACTATCGGCTCACCCTCGCTTCGCTCGGGTTCGCCTCTAGAAAAACAAAATGAAATCTATCCCACGGAAACCATACATTTACCTACTCCGGGATAAAAACAGCCTATGTGTTATTCTGATGTATAAGCTATAAATATTATTGTAAACTCTAAGTCTAAGCCAATTTTGGTAATATTTTGATTGTGGTTGTAGATGAATGTAATAAAACATATAATAAAATTGTAACTAAGCCGAATCTGTACATTGAGTATTTTTTGGAAAATCTTATTGAAATAAACATTATTATCGATACAGAGGCGGAATATATAGTTTTTTAGATTTTTTGTCTGTCTGTCTGTCTCTTACCGTATCACGAGAAAACCACTGGAAAGATTTTGATGAAATTTGGTATGATGATAGCTGGTTATCCGCGTCAACATATAGGATACTTTTTATCGCGGGAAAATATGTCATTGCTGAGAAAAAATACAAAAATTGCAATGTAAGAGTATACTAAGATGTAAAACCTAAATATTTGGTCTTTGGACATCTGAACGCGGGCGGAGCAGCGGGCAATGGTAGTGTGTTAATATTTTTGTTATAAAAGGTTAAGCCCCCAATCCCATGTGCACTTTGTTTACCGTTACCGTTTACCTAAACCTATGGAGTATAGAATGCATAAGAGCACACAATGTAAATAAGCCATTACTACGTTAAATTGTCGCGTGCAATGCTATAAAATCTTTTAGAAAATAAAACTTTAACAAAACGCGAGCTGAAAATAACCAAAAGACCTTTCACGTAGTATGAGTGGGTATCTACTATAACTATTTCAAATGGGATTCGCGTGATGAGAACAAATTAATGCACTGCAAATTCGACATTGCAAGTTTACTCCATAATATAAATATATGTACGTATTACGTATTTATGAAAATATAATTAATATCAACATATACATTTATAATCAAACTAGCAAAACACGCGGCATCGCTCACGCTTAACGACCAAACTTCATAGTTTGGTCTACAGTATAAGTTGAAAATGTTACTTAAATACGATATAATTGACCAACAGACTGACAAAATTACAAAACGGTCTAATAAAAAAAAAATAGGATATCCTATATTTATCTACGGCCTTTCATGCCCGCATGGTTGATAATAAGCTGGCTTCTACCCTAATTTTAAACTATTTAAGTCCATATTATCTTTATATGCTTATTCTCTAACTAACAAACACACTTATTCTCATAACCTTTCCCATTCATGAAATTACTAACAACTCACTCTCGCTTCGCTCGGGTTCGTCCCAGTGAAAAACAAAAACAAATCTATCCCACGGGAACCGTACATTTATCCAGATAAAAAGTAACCTATGTGCTCTATTCCAGACCGAGTTAAAATCTATCTTTGTGCCAAATTTAATCTAAATCCGTTCAGCCGTTCTGGCGTAAGAGCAACAAACAAACATCCATCCATCCTCACAAACTTTCACATTTATAATATATGTATGGATATGTATTAATGGGATTATTATAAAAAATTAATCTCATTACAATGTTACTATACGCAAGTGATAACGATATTAGAGAATAATTTTCAATGTATACGTAAATAAATTGATCTAACAGGAAAAATAGCAGATAACTATGAATATATTTCATATATTATTAAAATAAATAATAAATATTGTGACACCAGCTAATACAGACTTGGGATATGATGTGACAGACGGTTTAGAAATATTAAAGCACTAGTTCCTTTTGGGGTAGTTCTTTGATAAGTCATCCCCTAATAAAGTTTAAAAGAGGATAAAAGTAAACTTTTGTATATTTTGCAGGTTGGTAATATAAGAATAGTCACCCAACACAATTTGGCAATTATAATTTTTATTAACACCTCCAGGTAAATTTCTAAGAAAATAATTAAATTTCTAAGTAATCTATTGTTAACTGTAACGCGGGCGTATCCGCAGTCGTGGAGGTATTAATTATTAGATAAAAACTTCTACATTTTATTCCATGACTGTCCCACATTGCAAAAATACCCTAAAATCTAGGATTTTTATAGCGAAATGGAACAAAAAAACGCCATATGCAATACACGACCACTGCACGTGCATGAATAGTCATTGAATAGACGTGATATACGATAAAACCTAACAGTCAAGTTTATGAATTGCTTCATTGTACTGCAGGCGTCTAACAAAAAAGCAGTTATATGCTATCACAGTGGCTAATCAATGGGGGGAAAACTGTTATCGTGCATTACATGTACATAATATATAAGAATTACAACATTTATTATTATTATACTAGCGGTTCACCGTAGCTTCGCTCGAGTTCGGTTTAGGGAAACAAAACAAACCAATTCCACAACCCTATTTAAAAACTCCAAAAGGAGCCCATCAAAAGCGACAAAAGCCACATAGAAACCAATAAATATTTGGTGGGATTCTATTGATTTTTCAACATGGAGGAACTGTAAATTTTTACGGGATGAAAAGTAACGTATGTGTTATTTCAGACTATAATCTATCTCTGTGCCAAATTTTATCCAAATCCGTTCAGCCGTTCTGGCGTGAAAGAGTAGAACATCCATAGATACTCAAAGTTTCACATTTATAATATTTAATAATACGGATAATATTATATGTAAACTAGCGACTCAGTCAGTATGAAAAATAGTTTACGTCCTATTCTCAGACCTACTGAATCTACACATCGATCAAGCCTTTTTAGATGAGTTTTGTTACAACACTGTGACACGAGAATTTTATATATTAGAAGATATTATCCTTACTAATATTATAAATGCTTATGTGCAATTTTGTTTGTTCTTCTATCATACAATTAGGAATTGACATGATTTTTATAAATGTATATATAGAATGGACTTAGTGTTAGTATGTGTTAGTCAAAATACACTACAATATTATAGGGTATTTTATCCCATTGTGGCAAGTAACCCACAATATGTTGTATGAACTATAAAACATATTAAAAAATATATTTTCTGAAGTATCTAGAATATACAGTAGTTCACAATATATTATACTAAAGTATATAATACTTAATGTGCATCAGGTTTAATTTTTATATTTACAATGTTAGTACAGATGTTTTTCTTGACAGCCTATTTTTTTTATGATCAAGCAAAGACTTACTAATACCACTAAAGGGCAAATAGGATGGCACAATTTATATGAATATAATATTTTCTGGCTAACTTTATTTCAAACTGAATATTAACATTTCTAAACAAAATTCATCACTAAAATAATATATTTGCCATATTAAAATTATCAGGCAACGCTAGGGCAGATTGCTAGTTTAAACAGTGTCATTATAATAGCTGCAGTAGAAATCAAAGTAATATAAATTATATTTGCAAACTCCTCAAAGGATGATTGTAAATGCAACAAGATAAAGAAAATAAAATGAATACATGAAGAAAACTTGATTCAATAAAGATGAGGGCAAAAATCAAAATTAAAGATACATATTAAATTCATACTCTAAAAAAACTATTGCAACTATGTTGCTGGTGTAACATTTACTTAAAGCTGACCACATATTTTTCAGGGTATTCTTATATTTTGTATAATTTCTCTTTACATCCTAACTAATATTATAAATGTGGAAGTGTGTTTGTTCATTTGTTCTTCTTTTACATGGAAACAGAGGCGGATTGACATGATTGTTTGTGTGGATGTAGTTGGAGAACTGGAGAGTGACATAGGCTATTTTGTGGGAGATTATCCCATTTCCAGGGGAGAACATGTTATAATACACAACAACTCATCATACCAATTTATACATACATATAATGTATAGTCCATCTATTCCATTCTAACCATTGAAACATACCTAGGGCTAAACCTGAGCGGATCGAGGGTGAACTGCTATTATGTAAATAAACTTTCATAGTAATCCAAAATAATTTCAATTTACTACACAACTACATCAATTGGATGCACGGCAAAATTTCCCTATACCATATGTTCCCTCAGAACTATTTTTCAAATATATTTCATTTAGTTGTATCATACAGTTAATGTAATGTATAATTTTCTAAATAATTTGTTAATAATAACTCAAAGAATATATTATAATAACTATACATTCATAACCATGCTAGGATAAAGACAATGCAATAAAAGAAAAATTAATCATAAATGTAAAAAAATTAAGCAAGGTGCTTTCTTTCGTTAATACTAATAATAGTTAATTATAGATAAGCCAGCAGTATTACAAAAAGGTCATTTAATTTACCTTCTCTTATATAATGTACTTTACCATTGTCTTTTAAATTGTTTATATTGTCTTTCAAAAATTAACATAGCACAAAATAATCCAGTTTGGTATATGTATTGTTGTTGTTGTATATTTTCTATTTTATTCAGCAAACATGATATCATTATTAATCTGATCTAGTTAAAGTTAATAATAGTAAAATAAAACTTACATGAATTCACCATCTTAGTATAGGTGACCTTCAATTGACCAGCAAACTGGATAAGAATGCATGTTACATTGCTTGAATTGGTGTACGACCAGGAGCCCTGTTGAGGAGGAGATATGGGAGTGGGTGCTGGAGCAGGGGGAGCAGGTGTGGGTTTAGGAGTTGGAGGTGGCGTAGGTGTAGGAGTTGGTGGCGGGGTCGGCTCTGGGGTTGGCTTAGGAGTCGGTGCCGGTGTGGGTTGAGGTGTCGGAGCAGGAGTGGGCTTAGGGGTTGGCTCTGTCGTCGTGGGAGATTCCGTAGGTTTCTCAGTAGTTGGTGGTGGTGTTGGCGTTGGAGTTTCCGTTTCTGTCGCGTGCGGGATGAATATAGTGGCCGGTTTTTCTGTAGTCAGATATCCTTGCCCTATGCAAACGACAACATGTTATAATAATAGAAAAATAGGGTAGTCAAACAATTCCTTGTTTAGTACATGACGCAAATCTAAAATAAAAAAACGCGAGGTACACGATAAGCAACAAAGAACTTACCATTTACCAAGATACGCATTTATTAAGATCATGCAATACTTACCAATTATCATTACACTGCATAATATTGCCGCAAACAAATAAAACCTTAACCGAGTCATTTTGAAAAAATATGTTGCTCAAAACAATATATTCGTGAACAATCTCACAAGTACGTAGCAAATAAATGATTTTGTAAGAATCGAATACTCGACAGATATTATGTCAATTAATTTAACATATAGACAGTTGAGGTTGGGTTGCCAGTAAAATAATAACAAAAAAATACCTTCAACTTTTGTGAATGTCAAATCATAATATACAAAAACAAGACATTTATAAATTAAATATTTTAAATTCTGGGATGATTAATTATCATATTCTTTGGGTTATATTAATATAGTTTTTTTAACACATAAAAGTCGAATCGAAAGTTTTGAAAGTTTTATATTATAGCAAATTAAATTTTTATAAGCTAAAATATAGATTCAATTACTGTAAATTTTGGGACTTTCACATTTACAATAATATAAAAACACTAGGTATATAAATATTATTTTTTTCGTTAATTTTGTTATTTTATTAGTTTATCTATATATTGAACAATATTGAATTATTACATAGTAAATTAAATCATTTTGTTCCTTTTCTCTGTACGTAATTTTTAATTTATAATACTAAAGTTTTCTACTTTATAGTAGGACTGTACAAGAATAGTAACATTAGTAACCTAGCTGATTGGTCAATAAGCCTGAACCTTGTGCAATAATATTAAAAAAGTGATATTGCGTCTCTTTCTTATGCGAATGAAAAAGTATGTCCGAGCTTGATAAAAAAATGGCGCGCATTTAAAAATTATGTGAGTTTATGTAATTGTTGTTTTTTATTTATGTACCAGAAGATATAAAAGCCTTAAATAAAATAATTAGATACATTAAAAAGATTAACAAAATACGAGAATCCTCTTCTAAAATACCTACACTAAATAAAATGTCTATTTTTTTAAAGTGTCTATTTTTAATTTCAAAATATCAGTTTTTTACTAAATGCTTAAGAAAGTAGATACGGTACATATAGGAAAAACAATTTTTAACATTTTTGTCTGTCTGTCTTTGTACTGGCTAATCTCCAAAAAGGCTGGACAGATTTTGACGGGACTCACTGTTAGGTAGCTGTTGTTATAAAGAATAACTTACTTTACTTTTATTTTAAAAAAAGAATTGGGGTTCCGCGCAAAAAAATAAAACCTATAAAATTGTGAACTAATCCGCGTAACTACGGACGCAACCGAACGAAATGAGGGTAAGTCACTAATATACCTATAATATTTATTTAAAACAATTGATTGCATTTATTTCTGAAAATATTCATTGCTTTCATTCATTCTTTATTTGATATGAATTAGGTAATAAAATATTAAAATATACTCACCTATTTATAAATTATAATTGCTCACTTGTTAAGAATAGTTGACATAAAGATAAGGTAGCAATAAATAAACAGTATGTACAAATAACATTGTATTTCACGTAGCTTTATTAAAACATATAGCTAAAATATAAATTACAAATCTGCATACCAAATATTTATCATTTTTGTATTGACTTTCATAGTTCTTATTGTTATTAAACTTAAAATATTAATGAGATCTATTTTTATTGATGCTTTTCAGATCCTTCCATAAAATATTACGACGATCAAAATTTTAGAATATAAGAGAAAATAGATAATCTTGTACTAATATTCGAAATTCACTGTTTTTAATATTGAGTTATATTATAGGTACCAGTACATTAAAACTCAATGGTTTTTAACTTGTTTTTTTTTGTAAACAATTTCAATAATTAATACAAATGTAATGTAGTTTAAATTAGAAATTGTAGAAATAATTTTATTAATAAGGATAATATAATATACTTATAGCTAATTTTATTTTTTAAATATAATAATTTTTGAATACCAATATTTTTTCTCGTTTTCAATAAATCATTATTTATAAATACTTCTAATTTATAAACGATATAAGTTATTTATTCTGTGCTCATTATTCAACACGAAATTATAAGATAATTTAATACAAACTACAGACTACTAATAAAAAACGTAGAAATATTAATATAAGCTTAAAGTAACAGATAGAAATGCTTCATCTTATTAGTTGGTATTAAAAACATATACTCGTACATACATATCTATACTAATATTATAAAGAGGTGAAGTTTGTGACGTTGTAGGGTTTCTGGATTTACTGAACCGATTTAGATGAAATTTGGTGAGAAGATAGTTTGAGACCCTGGGAAGGACACAGGATACTTTTATCCCGGAAATCATCCCTTAAGAGGGTAAAAATGGGGATGAAATTTTATATGGGGAATCGAGATAGGGACGAACCCGAGCGATGCGACTAGCGAGGGTGAGTCGCTAGTATATTATATAGATAAAGTACTTAGAAGATGTGTGTTTTGTAGCCTATATTTCGTTCCACACCCAGTGACCCAACCCGCTGCGAAGGCTCACGGGAATAGAGGCTGAAGATTTACAAAATGTATAAATAAAATTTATAGATATATAGGTATATATATTATACATAATTTAACCTGCTACTTAAACTTATTTTTAACAAAACTTACAAAATTAGTTGATTACCTGATATATTGTATACTTTAATATATCTGCATAATTGCTAAAAAAACATATGCAGTGCAATAGTAGTATATATTCTATTTAGTCTTATTAAAACAGTCGTGAAAGCCATAAAGAAGAAATAAAGTTTAAAATACACGCAAAATCTAAACACCTATTATTGAATGATTTTATATGTAATAATTAATAATAAATATACTTAGTTTACACAATACATTTTAAAACATTTATTCGACGTAAATTTCGAAACGAGCACGGCCCACTCGGCTAGAATGGTCGTACAAGATGTCACGTGTCCAGATGCGGCATTCCACATTGATTAAAATACCACCTAAAAAGAAATAAAGCAGAAATTATAATAAAATCTAAGTATATTAATGTGTATAAGCAATCCTGCGACGCCCCATTAAGACGGGGGAAGTTCCGTTGGGTTTTAGTGGGTAGTACTGGTTTTTCTAACTGGTGAAACCCACATAACTACGTGTATGTATACAGGTGGTACGTCTAATCGCATTTTCCAACGTTAAAAAAAAAAATTAAAAACCGTCTTCCAGGCACTAAAATGTAAAAAATAAGTAAACGGAGGTTTTCATTTAGAATAGATACCTAATCAGATATTTTCGAAGTCGGTGCCAGACGATGCAAAGCAAATCTAATATATTTTGATACATAAATACATATTTACTGATTACATATTCATATCTTAAAATATTGTAGGTTTTTTAAACCGCTGGACCGATTTCAATAAAAGTTATATGGGACCACCTGGGAACCCTATACCCTATATACCCTTTGAAACAAAAACATTCCAAATCGGTTCAGGTGTCTTCGAGTAATCGGTGAACATACATAAAAAAAAAAGATTCCGACGAATTGAGAACTCCTCCTTTTTGGAAGTCGGTTAAAAAAGGTCAAATTCTACGTGTACTAAACAACCCAATCCGTGTAGCCGTTTCAATGTCAAGAAGTTGTGCATACATAGGACATATTTGATAGTTTTGCTCGAAGCTCCGCTCCATGAATATACTCGTAACAGTATCGCTGTTACAAAATGTAGTATATGAAAAAATCAAGCACACTTGCTTGAATTGTGAAAAATATTAAATATATTTATGTTAAAAATAGTAGTTGATATACAAGATTACTTTTCATTTTCATGTTGATCTGTAAACAGGCTTATGGTGACGGAGACGGTTATAGGACTTGCTGTTTTATAGGCTCTAACAAAATATGTATAGGTATACGCACATTTTCAACCTTGGATTTACTTAACCTCTACCTTCATAATTATAAATACATCTTTTCTTTATCCTAATACGTTGCTAAGTAATGAATCCTGACAGAATTTCCACAAAAAGTTATGAGGTCGTTGCTTCCACAACTAAATTGATAAACTTAAGAAAATACATGAGGGAGTAGGTATATCATTTATTGTAATTTTAATCGACAAAATGTATGTGGGCTTACGATTTGGCCTCTCAAAGAGAATAGCAATCACAGGTGGTGAGATTTGGTCCGGAAGTGAACGGGCTGAACGTGTGATGCGGTCAGCTGTATGCAGGCGGCTGGTGGGGAAGCCCGGTGGCAGGACTCCAGGCAAGTACTGTATCGGTCCGATATTCTCCTCATCATTACTGAACTCTCCTTTGCAGGAAACCCAGATGAAATCTCCGTATTGGGCTGCTGGGAATAGGTGCTGTGGAATTTACATTTAATTATTCTTTTTGTAATGAAGTGACTTCCTCGTCAGTCTCGCTGAATACTACGCACGGCAATAGACTCTATATTCATGTCATTTTTTGATTTATATCTATTTTTATAGATATAATCAATAGATATCGTTATACCAATCTATTATCAATAAAAAAATCCCTAGCAGCAAGTCGCGACTATAAAAATCATTTAAGAACTAAAATTACTATTTTCTATTTAGCCTGTATTCTTCATCTTTGCTTATACTGTATAACTGTGTTGTATAACTGCCTCGGTGGTGTAGTGGCTAGCATGTACGGCTGCACACCCGGAGGTCCTGGGTTCGAGTCCCTGGTCGGGCCAAGTTTAGTTATTGAGTCTTTCTGTATATTAAGCCTCAGTCACCGCCTGGAGTTGGGAAGTTGGAGGTGTTTCACCCCCGTGCCTCGGAGAGTACGTAAAGTCGTCGGTCCTGCGCCTTAACTCTCACTGGTCGTGTCGAGTGGTCGTCCCACCAGAGTATGAGAGTGATAGGAATAGAGAGTGCACTTGTGTCTGCGTGTACACTTGTGCACTATAATATCTCCTGCGCAGTTGGCTAGTCTCAATGAGATTGGCCGCCGTGGCCGGAATCGGTCAGGAGAACACCATCATCATCATCATCATACTGTAGAGTCTACAGTGTAGACCAATCATAGACCATGGATTATAAAGTCTTTAGAAATGTTGCTGTTAAGTAAGAACATCTTAAACGGCTTTGGTTAGTTTGAAAAACTGCCTGTAGAGGAATCTAATCTCCGCCAGTACGCCCAATTTAATACACCAAATTGAAATAAATATACAGTATATCGTCACAGAATAACGCTGTGAGATTGTTTGCGCGATTAAATGAAATTTGTGTCTCATCGTATACCTTCTCATAAAAGGCCAGTGTTAAAAATACTTCACTCATTTTTTTTTCTCACGGTCGAGGGTTTCTGGTAGAGATCTCTTAAAGATATAAGTCAGACATCCTTTGTACACAGGATATAGCTGTTTTCTGTTTATTAATAGGGATTTTTTCTTCTGGTACTGGTTACATAAATAAGTAAAAAATAAATAAATAAATATTTACCAAATTATTTGTAAAAATATTTAAATATTAAGTAGCAATCGGAATCAAAATCTACAGTCTCTTTAAGTGTTTTTTTTTTAATTTAGTTCACTTTAAGTTTCTTTAGTTAAATGTTTGCAGTTTACCATAGCTCTCTTGATGTTCTCAGGCATGTCGTGTGGTATAGCCATGGGCACTGACACGTTGTAAGGCTCCGGTACCCAGTAGTGGATCTAGTGATGATGACATATTTTTTGTGATTAACCAAAATTAATAATAAAAAAGTAGATGTAATGTTATTTATATTATACCTTTTCAGAAGTTTTATCAATAATCTCTAATATTCTAAAAACTTATTCAAACTTGGCTAATAAGCCAAGTATGAAATTTCATAAAACTGAAATTTCCAATTAGTAAGTAGTTGGTGAATAATTATATATTGTGTTTTGTGATTCCACTGATTGAGAATATAGGTATTCTAAATCATATCTACTTACATGGTTTAATCTAAGGAATACACAAGGGGTGCCTGAGGGGTAGCCATAGTAGTTATCCGCGTTACAAGGGGCAAACATGACCAGGGCGCGTTCGCAGGTTGGCGATGGCACACGCTGCTCACGACGAAGTATGGAGCAGGGAGCGCGGGGAGGCTCCTCTGGTATTGTCGTCTCATATTCTAGATAAATCATTAAAATGAACTTTATCAAATAAAATATTATGGAATTGTATTGAAAATTAGCTGACCCGACAGAGGTCGTCAATTTTGTATGTGATCTTTGAGTGTATACAAAAATCCTATAGGTTATTCCCGTATTTACCATTTTTCTGGGCTACTTAAAAAAGCTTATGCAAACTTTTAAGAATATTTAAAAAAAGAAATTAGTCAAATTTGTTCAGACCTAGTTAAATAATATACGCTTACCCTAACATTACCTAACAAACTGTACTTTTTTATAAGTTTACTCTTAAAGTATTTAAAGATAGAGTTAGATATCTTAATGTTTGTGTCAGACGTGATCCAACTCGGACTAAACCGGAAACCCAGAAACCCACTTTAGTTGAGGACCCATATACATCATAGTTATAGCCCAGTCCACAGCACAAAGAGGACACAAATCTATCTATAACCTTATGGTTTGTGAAACTTGTTAATCGAAATATGGTCGTTTTGGACACCATCCTCAACATCGAGTACGTTGCTAATGGCGACTTAATAATTTCAGACAGATTTAATCAAAACTAATATAATTAAAGCACAATAATTTCATAATATAATCATAGATTTGAAATTGTTAGAATTTTAAAAATAATATTAGGTATTTTTTATTGTAATTATGTTTAAATTTTGTAATATAATTTTAATATTTAACTATTAATAAATATAGTGAAAAGCATGGAATACCTGCAAGGAAATCGTTGATTTTCTTATACCATGGCTGCCAGGTACCAGGATCTCGTGAACGGAACTGGATCAGGGGTTGCTCATAATTGTATGAGTCCGATCGAGGCCACACTTCCAGTTCTGTATGAACAGTTACTTGTTTATGTAAAAATAAAGATTTTAAAAGTGTAAGTCTAGGTAATTAAATTATGAAAACTTCTACAATTTTCAAGCTAAAAAAATTTATAACCTTGTTATATTGTTGGTGTTTACAAAAAAAATATTGATAAAATACGTACCAACATATCGATAAGGCAATAGAAGAGCCAGTAGCAGTCCAATGATTCCACCTGTAGATATAAAATAGTTAAAAAAAATTTTTAATAAGTTATCGCCATTTTCCTAAGTCTCCAATTATATTATTCAATAAGTGAGTAAATTAAAAAAATGCAATGAATTTGATAGTGGTAACGCGCTCGCTTGGGAAACCGAGTGAAGCGGGTTCAAATCCCTGGTTTGGCAAGTCTGATATTTTCATGGGCAAATCATTTTCAACATGACTACCACTTGTCTTAACGGCGAAGGAAAACAAATTGAGTAAACTTGCGTGTCTCAAAGTATCTAGCAAGTTTTCAAAAGACATGTGTAGTCTGTCAGCCCACACTTGGCCAGCGCGGTGTACTATGGCATGATCTCCCTCGCATTGAAGGGAGGCCCATAGTCCATACCCAGTAGTGGAACGTTAAAAAAGGGCTCAATACAATATAATTAACATCCTTAATTTGTTTTAACAGAGCTAGAACTAGTCTTAGGTATTGTAACAGATAGTTTCCTTTTCACCAGCTAAAGTTTATTATAGGGCTGTTCAGCGAACAAAGATACTGAGGGCGGAAGCGATACGAGGGTAATGTATCGTGTCATGGACAACGGAAATATTTCTTGTGAGTAATCCAGATTTGGAATTCCAGAAGAAGATGTTCACATATACGAGTATCGATAAGATATGTACAGGAAGACCTGAAGTGCTAATAAAAAATCGCATATATTCGATGAAATAAGGATAGCACGGATAACGCAAACAAGGACGCCAATTACCCAAATGGGAAGATAACCTAAAATTAACAGCTGGATATCATTGGTGGCGCGTGACCTAACTCAATGAAAGATGTTAGAGGAGGCCTATACCTAGAGGCAGGCCGATCTGCAAGACATCCTATATAAATAAAATATACTCTGTAAAGTCATAAAAACCTGCAGTTCGGCATAAATATCTTGGAACTCGAAGCCGTGACTGCTGGCACAGCAAGTATGGTCACTACAAACTAAGCCAAACGTGTCGTCATAGCTTATTATTATTATTATCAGATGAAATAATTGTCTTTATGCATTGAAATCAGGGGTGGAAGGCAGGAAGTACATAAATAGTCTTAATAAATATACTTTTTGTAATGTCTAGATAGAAGATTAACAAAGAATTGTCCATACATACAAAACACTGTAATATTAATGTGATCATAGTGCAATGTCCCTATAAAAGTGGTTGCTTGTATTTCTATAAAGCCCTAGTAATGCTCGCAATAAGCTTTAAGCTTATTAAAGGATTGTTATATATGTTGGATTGTAAGCTCATTTGTTGGTTGATATGATATTGGGGAATTTAAAATAACTTAAATTCTAGACTGTTTTATACATATTATATTTTTATCTAAATTATTTTTTTATACAATTGTTATGGTAATTTACAAGGCGGTAGGTACAGGACGCATAGTAAAACAAAGAAATATATCAAAACCGAGAACTCTTTTTGGAAGCGATTGAATATAAATTGTGTAATGTAATAAATTGGTTTGATTCAACTTAAAGTTTATTTTTAATTATTTAATTGTATTCATCTCAGCAAACCCTTTCATTTGATATCCATATCAAGGGGTGCATCAAAAAACATAGTCCGTCGTCGGTGGGAGTCGGCCATATTGGATTTAGAACGACGTTTTTCTAACGAACCATTGTTCTCCAAACTAAACATGTACGCAAAATTTTAGCTCAATCGGTTCAGGATAACTGGTTTGAAAGTCAGTTTCGAGATTTGATGATTTGAACAAACATTCATACAAACATTGCAATTCAAACAAAAGCTTGTAAAAAGGAAAAGAGTACTGAAAAAGTAAGGAGTTCGATTGCTGTATCTAAGTACCTAATTGTCTTGATTCTGGCGGGAAGCGAATAAAAAAAACAAACACGTCGTTTCAAAATAAATCTACAATAGATATTTTAAACAGTAATAATAACTTACAAGAATTATAAATACTAAATAGTTTTTTTAATGAACTTTAAGATACTATGTATACTAAATCATAAAACCTAATTAAGTATTAAAGAAATAATAAATTACACATCAAGATTTTTAATGCTATCTCTATAATAAAAAGCATAGATTTTAACCTTTAAAATTATTTCGTGAAAATAGTATTTTTAAAAATTCTTAAATCAAACTCACTCACATACAATGATCAAACCCTAAAATTAAAAAGTTTTAAAACTCTCACCAACAACAAGCACGGTCACTGTAACTATCACAATTATTTTCACAGTACGCTTATCTAAACCCATTTTCACTAATATATAAGGATAGCCTTTACTGATATTTTCTGGTCGTCCAAACCACCACTTTATGAAGAACAGTCCCACCCTCGGTCTTCAGTAACTTCCAAGTGCGTACGACGAAAGCTGGAGACTGAATGGTGCGAATAAGCTTAGGTCTTGGTAACAACTGGGTCGTACCCTGTGGGATATACATCGACGGTTTTGTTATAATTCTCAGTTATTTTACTAATAAATAGATATACGCAATATTTATTTATTTAAATAGAAAGAAAATTACAGTGATATTTTTGAAACTAGTAACTCACCCTCGCCTCGCTCGGGTTCGTCAAAGGGTTTAAGCAGTGTTTTCGTTGAAGGCTCCCAGATGGCTTATTTTTTTCCGACACCTCCAACAAATATCGTTATATTTTAGCCAATGTATACAAAAACGTAACAAATTATATACTAAAATCTTCCTCGACAACCACTGTATCCATTGGTGAAAACAGCATGAAAATAGGTGCAGTAGTTTTTGAGTTTGTTACAGACAGTTACAGACAGATGCGGCGGAGTACTTTGTTTTATAATATGTAGTGATAATAGAAGCGTATTTTTGACAAAATTACTTACATGCGTTCGGGATACATACTCGCTCCTGTAGTTTTATTTAATCTTCAGCCATCAACGTCTATGTATATCCTTAATCCCGGGTATAATACCGTATATAGTCACATGGTATTTTGTACTGATATTTACTTTTTTCCGGATAAAAAATAATATATGTTACATTTGACAATATCCTCCATTAATCTATATTATGGGTGATAAAACCTAATATGTCCTTCTTGATTAATTTGTGAATCCACTTATGAAAGAGATTATTATAATTGCTTTGGCCTTCAGGCGATTTCAGGTACAACAAGATAGACTAAAAAATATCAAAATGCCCAATATGGTATGGTAAAAAAAAACCGTAAATTATGTACACGGCCTTCATGCCTAAGACTATATGCTATAACCAGGTCTACAAGTATCTGTGTAATAAATTTCATCCAATTACATCCAGCTGTTTTAGCGTAAGGACTTACATACATACATACATACTGGCTCCGCTCGGGTTCGCCCATAATTAAATTTTAACGTTTAGTATAGATTTCTTACAGATGAGACATTTTCCCGTAGTAAAAAGTATCCTATACGTTGACCCGATATAACCAGCTATCATCATATCAAATTTCATCAAAATCTGTCCAGTGGCTTTCTCGTGATGCGTTCTCAGACAGACAAACAGACAAACAATAATTCTAAAAACTATAGATTCGGCCTCTGTATCGATAATATTGACTATAACAATAAGATTTTCCAAAAATATTCAATGTACGGATTCGACTCAGTTACAATTTTATTATATGTACTAGCGTTGCCCGCGGCTCCGCCTGCGTTCAGAGGACCAAAAACCACATTCTTAGGTTTTACATATTAGTATACTCTTACATTGCAGTTTTTGTATTTTTTCTCAGAAATGAGATATTTTCCCGCGGTAAAAAGTACCCTATATGTTGACCCGGATAACCAGCTAACATCATACCAAATTTCATCAAAATCTGTCCAGTGATTTTCTCGTGATACGGTGACAGACAGACAGACAGACAGACAAAAATTCTAAAAACTATAGATTCGGACTCTGTATCGATAATAATGTCTATTTCAGTTAGATTTTCCAAAAAATATTTAATGTACAGATTCGACTTAATTACAATTTTATTATATGTATAGATAGAAAAGTTGCATCAAAACAAGTTTAATTCACTTGGGGTAAGTAAATCGAATTTTCTTATTCAAAATCCTTCAATGTATAGCAAAGCGTAGCCTGGAAGGTAGCTACGACAGACGTCGCTGGCGCCGCGACGCACTGGCGCCTGCTACGCTCACATCTCCACCCCTGGGAGGGTGATTACTGCCCTTTACACAGTATTGACACTGTTACATAATTGCCAAATTTGCATCCCTTATAGGATTGTGCTATTTAAACTTTATTTTTCATTTTGTGTAATACAATTAAAAATAAACAGAATATCATGTGACATAGCCAAATTATAAGAAGTTTCGCGAAAAAAATCGTGGAAAAGAAACTTAACTTATCTTAAAGGAAAAAGTTTTACTTTTAAGTTTAAGTTTTAAGTAATTTTATCTATAACTAAATTATCTATAACTTATTTTATAGTTTTAAATAAAACTATCTTTTCGGATTTTTTCGCGGATTTGTTTTGATTTTTGGGTACCGACGTTTCGAAGGATTTCCAACAATCATGTAATAATTTCTATTTAAAATGTCGAATATTCGCGAAAATCTAAGAAAGTATTATTGTTTATTTCTGTCTAAGATATTTTTTTAATCAAATTATTATTTTTGATTTAAATATTAACCTAACAGATAAACTCTTTGAGCAAGTCTCACATTTAAATGATATGTAATTATATAATAGTGTTAAAAAATGTAGGCACAACAAAGAAGATAAGGGTTGGGGGATGAATCTGGGGCAACGACTGGACGCGACAGCGCGGCACCAAACATCCAAATATCGACACAGCAAGGAACAACATGGTAACTTGGTATTACGGCGATTTTGAATACAGACTTTTTATAATATATGACAATTTAATGTCTATTTTTAAATTATGTAAACACCGAGCTTCAACGTTGTTCTTCGCAGGTGTCTCTAAATAATTAATTGTTTATTTTAATGTATTATATCCAATATAATAAATAAAAATAAATTGAATATATTTAGTAGTAGATAGATATTATGTTATATACTGTCTAATCGGCTTATATGAAATACGTAACATTGTATGTTTTTTTTTAAATTTTATACTAATATTATAAATGTGAAAGTGTGTTTGTTTGTCCTTCTTTCACGTTGAAACAGAGTGACAGATTGGCATGATTTCTTTGTTTAGAGATATTTGGAGGGGTGGAGAGTGACATAGGCTACTTTTTACCGCGGGAGATTATCTCATTCCCACGGTAAAACACGTTATAATACAACCCGAAAAAATATGATCAAAACTACTTGAAACTTGGTATTAATGTTCTTCAATACAATGGAATAAATACGTATTTTAGTATCTTTCAAAATTTATCCTTTAAGGGGGTAAAGTAAGGGGTAAAAGTTTGTATGAAACCTATCTTTTTAGAGATTTTTTTGTAGTTTTAGCGCGAGCGAAGCCCCGGGTTCTGCTAGTTCTAAATAAATGTAAGTTTGCAGTTATACATATAAATGTTCGATTTGTTTTTAAATTAAATTAAAATACAATAATATTATGAAATAAATATTAATACGGCTCCATCGTACCCACATAATAATCACCTATTGTAAGATAAAAAAAATTGAGCTGGACCCTAACTCGTTTTTTAAAATAAAAGCAGCCTAAGTTACTCCTGCTATTATCTATCTGCCAGTGAAAATCCCGTCAAAATCAGTCTAGGCGTTTCGGAGATTAGCCGGAACAAACAGACAGACAAACATTTTAAGGATTGTGTTTTACTTATAATTACCTACCGTATATAATTTCATATGCATTTAGTAAAAAGCTTTTTTTCGACATTACAAACAGACACTTAAATTTTATTTATCTGTATAGATTATGTAAAGTAATTCTATAAAAATAAAATTATAATAATACGTTATTATTAAATAGGTGAAGTAAAATTTATAATACGTTTTGGTGCTCTATATGGGGCAGGGAGAGCGCGACGGCTCGGCGACGGCTTGGCGCCGGCCGTAGCCGAATTGGCAAACATCTAGCTTTACGGCATTTGTTCTTTGTTAATGCGACTCATCTTATTTCAACTTTCATTGATTATTCTGAAGAAAGTTGCCGACTTGATTTGATTAATTTATACTAAACACTTGCATATATTGTACGGTGCTACTCAATCGTATTATATTTTCTTTATTGCGTTTAAAAATATATACTTACAGTAATTAAAATACAATGTTTGTTAGCAAAAGTGGACTTATCTCTAGAAGAAATCTCTTCCAGCCAACCTATGGCAGTGAGAAATAGTGTTATACTAGCATTGCCCGCGGCTCCGCCCGCGTTCAGATGACCTAAAACTAAATTCTTAGGTTTTACATATTAGTTTACTCTTACATTGCAGTTTTTGTATTTTTTCTCTTAAATGAGATATTCTCACGCGGTAAAAAGTATCCTATATGTTGACCCGAAGAACCAGCTACCATCATACCAAAAAATATTTCATGTACAGATTCGGCTTAGTTACAATTTTATTATATGTATAGATAAATTAAAGGTCATGTGATTTTCTCTCAAGTTAACAGTAGGTGAGAATCAATACTAATATTATGTAATAAGCAAACATGTTCCATCTTTTATGCAGCGAAAATAACATCCATAATGATGTTTTGTTGTCCGAATAATGACATAGCATTTTATATCTATACATATAATAAAATTCTAACTGAGCCGAATCTGTACATGAAGTATTTTTTGGAAATTCTTATTGTAAGAGACATTATTATGGGATACAGAGGCCGAATCTATAGTTCTTAGAATTTTTGTCTGTGTCTGTCTGTCGGTCTGCCTGTTACCGCATCACGGAAAAACCACTGGAGGGATTTTGATGAAATTTGGTATGATGATATCTGGTTATCTGGGTCAACATATAGGATACTTTTTACTGCGGGAAAATATCTTATTTCTAATAAAAAATACAAAAACTGCAATGTAAGACTGTATACTAATATGTAAAACCTAAGAATTTGGTTTTTGGTCATCAGAACGCGGACGGAGCCGCGGGTAATGCTAGAATAAAATAAAATATACACGTATGTGCCCAAACACCACAGCGCTCTTTCATGGAACGACAATTCAAAATGGCTGTTTAGCACGACAACTTCCCAATTTCGAACTGCTTGTGAAAATTTCTTTACAGAAAAATACATTCTATGTAGTTGATCTGACTCGGGAATCCAACTCATGATCTACACACTAGCCATGGAATTTTAATTCGATATTAGAACAAAATAATCGACCAGTAATTAAAAAAGTGTTTACAACAGCTCCTGCAAACTTCGATCGACGATTGACACATGTTATTTATAATATGGAACTTCCTATGACAAAAATTGTAACCTCATTATTCTTAAAATAAAATTGGATAACAGTAGCTTCGAAGATCGCTTCAAGATTTAGCATAAAGGTAGAAGACGTAAAATTCACAAACTCTATGACAAATTAGAAATTCTCTACAAAAGCATTTATATACATAGTATTAGTCTATGCATATAATAAAATTGTAACTAAGCCGAATCTGTACATTAGATATTTTTTGGAAAATCTTATTGAAATAAACATTATTATCGATACAGAGGCCGAATCTGTCGTTTTTAGAATTTTCGTCTGTCTGTTACCGCATCACAGAAAATCACTGGAGGGATTTTGATGAAATTTGGTATCGTAGCTGGTTATCCGGGTCAACATATAGGACACTTTTTACCGTGGCAAAATGCCTCATTTCTGAGAAAAAATACAAAAACTGCAATGTAAGAGTATATTAATATGTAAAACCTAAGAATTTGATTTTTGGTTCTTAAATAAATTTGGTAAGGAGATAGTTTGAGACTCTGGGAATGACATAGGACACTTTTTAACCCGGAAATCATTCCTTAAAGGGGTGAAAATGGGGATGAAAGTGTGTATTCGGAAGCAAGCTAGGGACAAACCCGAGCGCAGCGAGTGAGTCCCTAGTCTAATAATAATCAGAAACCGCCTTCACTTCATTCTAGCCTCAAGAGCACGCGGTTTATCTCTTAGTAACACACCTCTTTTTCTTTCAGTCTTTAACTTTTACATAGTATATAGCATGGCTAACTGACAGACAGCATACAGCCAAAGCTATAACATAAAGTTATTATTATAGGTACTTACAGTTCGCTGTAAAGATAAATAGTTTAATCGAAATATACCTTTTTTATTTGCCGTATAAAAAAACCGGAAACCGGTCGAGTAAATCTAAAACTGATCATTACTTTTTTTACGAATTCTGTATCACGACAATCTTTATGTAATTTTTGTGTGATAATATTTGATTATTATTATTAATTTGTCTATAAAATCGCTATTATTAATCTTCTCCAATCTACAGGACACTGGCGAAGTAGACTGTGCTCAAATGGCATTATAGGCCACAATACAAAGAACATCAAAATTGTTATTAATACTAAATTTTAATTCATTTTATTATAATTTTCATTACATAATAAAGATATATTATGATTTTTTCTTATATTTAGGTTTACGAAATTTTCACAAATAATTATAAATGATAGGTACTAAGTATTTAATTCTTTTTTTTGGTATTTGTATTTATTTTGTGTCAAATTAAAGAAGGGAGGGTTAAATAAAACACAATAAAAAAGCTAAATTGGAACCAACTATTGCGTATTTATTGACTCTCCGTCCAGAAAACATTACAATAATAAATATTATTTAATAATAATTTAAAATTCAATTCATAACCTTAAGCGTGTAAACGAAAACATCAACTCAGTGGCGCCTTCTGGCTATTCTAAAACGAATATAAATTAACCGCCGACTATGTGGCTATTGCTAAGGGCGCTCTTGGCAGCCGGCGCCTGGAGCGGTGTGTGTCTTGGCAGCCTTGGCGACCAATTGGTTAGTGGGGTGAACTTGGAAACCAATTGGCGGGCAGTCGGACAACTTGGCGGCCAACCACGGCTGACTTGGCGAGAAACTGAGCGAAAGTTCAGACCGCTATTGGAGTTGGCAGTGGGATGCAGTCTTGAAACTTGGCCAAGTGCATTACACCAAGTTGACAGAGTTAGCAGGAAATAATAAGCGTTGTCTGGTGATTTGGCCAAGCAACACGTGTCAGAGTGGTGACCGCCAAGTTGTCGGCCAAAAGTTGGAGCTGCTTAGGAGCGGTCCACCATCAGCTCGAAGTGGACCGAGCCTCGCCGCTCGTATCGGTCGTAGAAGATGTTTTTCGCCCACGCCTTACACTCAATGTTGATAAGGACGCCCGCTGCAAAAAAAAACGATATCAAAGTTACAAAACTGGACATTATTTTTTGCACATATTATGTATTTGTTAATAAATAATTTTTGGTTACGTTTTAAACTAAATATTAAAGATAAAACTTATAATATATTTATTTATCGAAAACTTATACTATGTTCCATATTACCTTCTGCGTCTTTAATTTAAATATGTAGCTATCTTAAAAAGTTTGGATCAAAGACGAAGGTATAGCTGTAAGAAAAATGTAATAAAATGTTTACAGAGAAATTTTTATTTTGACCAACTTACTCCTAGGCTTTTCAAAGAGCACAGCAACGAGGGGGCTCAGGTAGCCGTCCTTATTGGTGAAGGGATAATAGTGGGCGGGGAAGCCACGACGAGGAATGTACTGCACAGGGCCAATATTCTCCACGTCTGCTGGATTCTCACCCTCGCAGGACACCCATACAGTGTTCGCCTCTGGCTTACCAGACTGAGAAAAACGTTTCGTATTTTAAAAGAAATATTCATACATTTACTCGCTTATTTACCGATGATCTTTAAAAAAATACCTATGACAGAAAACGTAAAATAATTTGCTTTAAATTTTAGGTCGTTGCTTATGATAAGGTGTTTAAATCAATCGTTATGAAAAGAACATGTAGTTTCTGGATTTTTTATGCTTCTTTTACGAAACTGATATCTACAATTTTAATTGAATATTTCGAGTTAATATTTGTTATTTTAGAATGTCAAGAGAGATTTATAATTTCTATGAAATACTTACAACCATCTTAATGTGCTGCTTGAGATCTTCTGGCATGAGAGATGGCAGATCTTCAGTATTGTTATATGGACTGGGAGTCCAGTTGAAGATCTAAAAATGAAAATGATGTGATAAAAACTATACGTAATTATTTCATCAAACTGATTTACAATTTGTCGTTAACAGTAAGCTCTATTATTGTTATTTGTTATATTAGAAGAACAGATCCATGATCCTACCTTATTCAACTTGAGGAACACACAGGGTCCAGCTTCCTCATAGTTGTACTGGTTGGCGGGGGTGCATGGGTGGAACTCGTCCACGGGCACATCGCACACTTGCTTCTCGCCTAAAGTGTGGGAGGTGGGGGAGCAGGGAATCCGGTTTTCAGCGCCGCTAACTTCACCAACACCACTTCCCTTCTTCTGGTACTCTGTAAAGTTCATGTTTACTTATGAGGAAGTCGGTATGAATAATTGAACTTAGCATTCTTACTAAAATTAATTCGTGTCGTTTTTATATATTGGGTTTAAGAATCATATTTATGCATTATTCTTATTTTTTTCCCCCCACATATCCCCATTAGATCGGTCTCGGTCAATTTTGTCTTACTATTGTATTTTTAAGAAACATATCATTAACTGGCGATTCTTTAAATTCATATAACTTTTTTATTTATAAACTGATTGAAGTAAAACAAATACTAAATGTTAAGTGAAGCTTAACACAATACATTAGTGAAAACTGCACCGTTTTGGTGCAGTTTAGCTATTTCTGAGATTAGCACACACAAACGCACAAATAAACAGACAAAAATTCTAGAAATCATTGTTTTGGGTTCCATTCTGTTAATAAAGACCCCCAATAATAATTTTTCTCAAATATCTTCCATGTACAGACAGCAATCAGTTACACTTTTATTACATGTATAGATATAGATATGGGCATAATTAGCAAGGAAATAGCTGTGGTTAATACGTACGAACTAAGAACTCATCGATGACCGAAGCCCACTTCAGCACTGAGCCCTTATCATTTGCCTTGTAGTAAATGAGAGTACTCTCAACGTTGGCGGTGTCCGGCATCGGTCTGAATCCAAGACCTGCAAAAGTAACAAATATTTTAGTGTTTACTACTAGAGGTATATGAGCAACTTATTTGAAATTAATTTAAAAGATATTATATTTAATCACTAAGAAAATAATTATAAACATTAATTTTTGTTATAAATGTTAATATTTAGCAAGAGTAGGGCACTTGCTTGAAAAACCGAGTGCTACAAGTTAAAACTCTGAGTCTCGCACCACTAATAAAATCATTTCCAACATGATTAATTATCACTTGCCCTATCATCACTGAGAGAGTCTGAGAGAACTTAACTAGTTTTCGGATGATATGCGAAGTCTTGATTCTGATTATGCGATGTTACATTTAATACGTTGATAGTGTTCCTTTTTGTTATACTTACTTTCATACTAACATTTAATAGCAATATAAACCTATAGTTGTTGAAGAACAAATGTTTCAAAAAAATCATTTTGAGTAGGTATGTACTAGCGGCTCACCCTCCTTTCGCTCGGGTTTGCCTCTACAAAAACAAAAACAAATCTATCCCACGGAAACCGTTCATTTTTCCGGGATAAAAAGTAGCCTGTGTTATTCTGAGATATGAGCTATACTTTTGTAGAGTTTCATTAAAATCCATTTAGTGGTTTTTGCGTGAAAGAGTAGTAAACATCCAGACATCCATACATCCTCACAAACTTTCATATTTATAATATAATGGTATAGATAAGTAATGACATAACATACAAGTTTGCGAACTTACCAGGATTACTACCAATGAGTGAGCTGTCCATCTGCCATTTAGGCATCTTCGAATCCAGGGTCTGGTAGAAGATCGTCAACATGGCCGCGAAGAAACCAACCAGGATCGCGTAGAAAATCAAATAGAACAGGAGAATTTTGGCTGTAAGAAAAATATTGCAATTAAATAATTTTTTTGTAGTAGAATGCAAATTGTAATAAATAAATTTTTCCTAAATTATTTTATTATATTTGAACGTATTTCGAAGTTTTAAGTCATTTATAATCACAGGAAACGTCACGAACTGATAAGCTTAACACCACAATATAGCAGTATCCTGTAACTAAATTGATCCTTCCATAGTAATCAAACCAAATTATCATATATAGGTTATATAAAAGCTTCTAGAGTTAGTATTTTCACAAATATCTTTTGGATAGTTTGCGAAACTTAAATAGTATTGCGTTGAAACAATGTTACATGCTTAATGAATGGCTGTAATCGTCATCGATTACTTCCTTACAATTAGTGAGCGTTCATCGACCTGGTTACGAGTGTTTAAGCCCTCTGACTGTAATATCTTCTACGCCACACATCATGTTATAGGGATTTGTATACTAAAATTGATTTCGGGTCCAAATTGAGTTTGGTTAATATATTTACTAAATATTTTGATATTGTCATGAAATAAAGTTGATAAGCTACAAGACAAACCTAAATGAACGATTTATTACTGATGAAAAATATTTCTAGTTCCGCTAACGCTTTTCAGGCTTTTCCGAATTGATGGTCAAATCCTAAACTTCTGTTTTTTTTTTCTTTTCAATATCCAGCTGGCAACATCTATTGGAACTTTTTACTATACGACTCACCCTCGTTCTGCCATAGCTAGCCCCTAGATACTTAAAAAATTGGGGGTGGAGTTAGGAGTTTGTAAAATACTTTACGACCTATTCCCATACCTACCAAATTTACAAAAACAACATTAAAATCGGTCGAGCCGTTTCGGAGGAGTGCGACCACAAACACCATGACACGAGATATTTATATATTAGATTAATTATCATAGTATAATATGTACTTTTTCAAGAAACAATGCCGTAAATCTATGACATTTATTTTTATTGTAAATAAAAATAAGCATAAAATAAAAATCGTTAAGTTCTTTCTTACTTTTCTTTACATTTGCTTTTGACTTGCGGCAAGAGCGCTGGTATGGCAAAATAAAGAGCACAAACTTTCTCTATATAAAATCCCCAATAAAGTCAAAAGTTAATGGGAATTAATAACTTTCGAAATTATGAAAATTTGCAAAAACGATCATTTTCATACATTTGACTATATTTTTATATTAATATACATAATATATTACATAACTCTATGTATAGGTATTAAAATTAGGTAATCTATACAGATAAATAAAATTGAGGTGTCTGTTTGTAACAGCGTTTTACTGAATAATGTATATGAAATATCAATAAATGCATATAAAATTATATACGGTACTTATAAGAAAAACATATTTTTTTTAATTTTTGTCTGTCTATTCTGTCTGTTTGTATTTCCGGATAATGTCTGAAACGGCTGGACTGATTTTGTCAGAATTTTCCCTGAAAGTTAGCTGAAGTTATAGGGAGTAACATAGGCTATTTTTATTTGAGAAAAAGAATTAGGGTTCTGCTCAAAAAAATGAAAACATACCTAGGGACGAACCCGAGCGAAGCGAGGGTGAATTGCTAGTACTTAATAATACAAGATCAAATTTGCCTATCACTGTATATTTAGTTTTATCAGAATAAGTGCAAAGTGTTAAGTTAATAATATAAAATACACTAAAATATAGTTACATTGTATATAGTACAATACACTGCCAGTGTCCACTATAGGTGTATATACAGGTAGGTATAGGTATATATAGGTAGGTATATACGGTTATGAAAAAATGGAGCGAAGCCAACCAAAATAAGCAGCTTAGTATCTGGAAAATCATGACGTTCTTGACGTTGAAGTTATTAGTCCGTAATTGGTATCAATTTGTTAGTTATAAATGTATTATTTATGATTATTTATTTTAAATACCTTACAGTAAATAGACTTAGTAAACTATTTCATTGAAATATCAAAACATTAGATCTATACTAATATTATAAAGGGGTAAAGTTTGTGAGTTTGTGAGTTTGTGACGTTGTAGGGGGTAATCTCTGGATCTACTGAATCGATTTATATGAAATTTGGTAAGATAGTTTGAGACCCTGGGAAGGCCATAGGATACTTTCTGTCCTGCAAATCATTCCTTAAGGGGGTGAAAATGGGGATGAAACTTTGTATGGGGAATCAACCTAGTGAGTCGCTAGTACATATATAAAGCCCGAGAATATGACGAAAACCTGATTTTGTGCGCACAAAATAATATTTAAATATTACGCAACTCGGTTTCTTTCCAAATTATTTGAAAGTATAGTGAAATATCTTCTAGTTTCATGTTTTCTTATACCTAAGCTAAAATCCAATCATTGTTATAAAAACTCTGCGGCTACGAAAATGGACACCTCATGCCGTATACAGAAATTGGTATATAATTAGAATACAGCTATAAATTTTCTAATACCAATTAATAGGCATAGCAGGAATCGAACACATTACCGCCGATTTAGAAGTCAGTTTCACCAAACCAACAGCTTCGTTGGCGCAGTGGTCACAAAACTAGCTCCTTGTCTAGACAAAACAAAAGTATAGATATTTAAATGCATACATTAGAGGTACGGTTTCTGGTCTCAATACAATAATTATACATAATGCTGTTAGTGAAATATAAGAAGAACAAAGACCATATTGTTATAATCGCATTGCGTCCTAGGAAAGTATAAGGCTCGTGGGTGCTAATCCCACAAACGTAAACAAGATTGAGTGCTGATAACCTATATTCCTTTTATTATGGTGATAGGTTCGGTGAAGGAAAGCATCGTGAGGAAACCTGCATGTCTGAGAGAACTTAGCAAGCTTTCGAAAGACATGTGAAGTCCGCCAACCCTCACTTGGCCAACGTGGTGGACTATGGCCTGATGCCCTCGTATTGGGAGGCCCGTGCCCAGCAGTGGGACGTTAAAAAGGGATGAATACATGGTGATAGCAGTATAATAACTTACTTTTGCACGCGTAAAAACAATCAGAATGTTGTCTAAAAATATGCATTTTTAACGATCTTAAATTAAGGCGTTGAAGTTTCCCAACATAACATATTTTGAAACTAGTTACGTTTTAACGGTTAGTATGGAATAGACTACTCGTATATTTTTTAATACATATAAATTGGCGTGATTTTTGTGTGGAGATAGTTCGAAGGCTGGAAAATGACACAGAACACTTCTTACCGCGAGAGATAATATCATTTCTACGGGAAAACACGTTATAATATAACCCACAACAACTCATCATACCTATGTATATATAATACTAGAGAATCACCCTCGCTTCGCTCGAGTTTGTCCCACGATATGTTTTAACGGCTATATACGAATAGATATAACACGTTTTCCCGTAGGAATGAGATTATTTCCCGCAGTAAAAAGTAGCCTATGCCACTCTCCAGCCCTCCAACTATCTCGACACAAAATTTATAAAATATATGGCCGATTTCACCAACGTCACCTAAGTTTAAGGGATCCCCTAAGCATGGTTAGGGGGCTGTTTTAGGGGACAGTTTCTGTTTCACCGACAATTAGGGGTTACCTAAATGTTAAAATGCCACCTAAATATAGGTACTAGAAATACGGGCTCTGACGATGGTAAAATGAAATTCAATTTAGGGACTAGTTTAGGGGAAAATTTAAGCTAGGGATCCCATACATAGGTGGTAGCTTATGAGATGTTGGTGAAATCGGGCAATAGTCTATCTATTCCATACTAACCCTTAAAACGTACTTAGGGACGAACCAGAGCGAAGCGAGGGTGAATCGCTAGTTGTAAATAAATGTCATCTGCCAAAGCAGATTAAGTATCCATAAATATCACACAACTTTTATTTGTACGCTGCGTAGCTTTCATTTAAGAATTACACTTTTTTTATATTAAAAGAATGTTGTTTATTTACAGTGTTTATTATTTTTGTCAAAAGATTAAAGAGCTAATGAGCTATAAAAATTAGAATTCAAGGGTACTACAAATAGCTGACCTAGTTACAAAATAATTAGTCGGCCTTATTAGTGCACGCGTGTCAACTCGACTCTATTATCACTTTGTACCATTTAGTCCGCTGTCGTAAAATACAAGCGGTAAGGATAAATGTTAGGAAGAGTTCAATAGAAATGTCATTTTAATCAAAATATGTTTAGAGCTAAGAGATCTGAGCTTACTGAAGTTAGTTCTTATATCAAGACAAGGCAAAATTTTAAGAAATCTAGTGATTTTTTAATGAACACTGGTGATTACGACTCTAAATAAGTAATTTACTTAATATATGCTAACAATGCTTTGTGCTTCTTATTGAAGGATCTTAAAGCACGCAAGTTTAAGCCGTTTGACAGATTTACTTGATCTTAAAATATTTAAATTAAAAAACTATATAAATAAAAATAAATGTTCGTATGTTTATCCTATATGCGTTCCTAAGGCATTGATCCGATCGTGATGAAACTCTGGCGGTCATTCTGTATATGCCTTCGAAGGTTTCTAGCGTAAAAAAAAATTCTTTGGACCATAGACCATTTATAATATCACTAGAGCGAAGCGAGTTTAAATCCCTAGTAATTTAATATAACTATTAAATATCTGCAATAACTGTTATTTGAAAATAGCAATATTATCAATAACTGATAATTATAGAGACGATAAAAGTCATAAAGTGCATGTTTCTGCAATTAATCGATGGAACATCATGATTTATACAGGTGAGCAGGTCATGGAGGATGCGCCGTCGGTCACCGCGGACGCATGCGTGTTGCCTGACCTGGCGGAAATACCTGTGATTCACCAGCTCTGGCTGCGTCAGGAGAGGGAGTAAGGTAGAAGTATCGAGCTATGGGTGGAAGGGTCGAATCGGAAGAATCCTAAAAATAAGGATAATATGAATATACTGAATTCTTATATGAGGTTTAATTTGACTATTTAAGTTAGGTTTACAAGTTCTAAGCCACTATACATAAGCATGGCGTAGTTTTTTTTATAAATAATAAGCTTTAATAGAAGCTGTATGTAATACATACATGTATTATTAAAGTTCTCGACAAATCAGATGATCATTAGATTTGCACAAATTCGTTAGTAGCTTATTTATGCCCTATATATATATAATATTAACGTACTATACTATAAGATTGATACTATATTCCACCTATTACTTTAATAATGTGTCCAAGTACATCTAATGTAGAGATCGAAGCAAGTGTAGAGCTTTCTATATTATTATCTAATACTGATGTGTAAAAAAATTAACAAATGGTGATGATGATAATCGATGTAAAAGTGTATCGATTAAAAATATTCTCGTGTTGGCATTTTTAATTTTTTTTTTTGCTTTTAATCGAAGTATTTTAATTATTATCTGTTTCATAATCGTCTTTAGTTTTTAACGTCAATAAACGCAGATCATTTAAGTTAAACAATCAGAATTTACAATAGGGATATAAAGGATGTTTATATCCCAAGGAGCTTTCCATAGAAAGATTTGTAGATGGAAAAGCAGAAATGTGTCCTTCGATCGATCTTGCGAAGGACGAGGCGCGCGCAGTCAGGCCGGCGCCGCGCATCATGCTGGCCTATATCTTTGAACGACCTTCAAATAAGTAGATCACATTTTAAACCTTATTCCAACTGAATAGATTTGATAATCTATTAATCCCTCTCAACTAAACCGATCTCTTTGTTTTGAATTTTTGAGTTTGGGATGGAGAGTATTTTGAATAAAACTATAAAAATCAATGGTAGAATGCCATATTTAGACGTTTTAGTTCTAAACGATGTGAAATATTATGATTTGTCATAATTGGCCTAGTTTAATCTTAAGTAATAGTGACAGATTTGAAACAGTACACTGTTCGTGTATCTTCTAATATATAAAATTTCCATGTCACAATGTTTGTTACCGTACTCCTCCGAAACGGCTTTACCGATTTTTACCAAATTTTATATGCGTATTCAGTAGGTCTTAGAATCGGCTACTATCTATTTTCCATACCCCTAAGTAGGTAAGTATAAGGATAAGGGTGGTCCTCCCAGACCCCACCCCAGGGACGAACCCGAGCGGAGCGAGGGTGAGTCGCTAGTTTCTATATATAAATCATTTCGTTATAATTTAGTAAAAATTCTTTAAAGTGCTAATATAACAGTTTTATGTCAGTACTTCAGTATCATTATGTGTTATCAATTTTATTCCGAATGAATCATCGAGGACGAGTAAATCTGTTTAATTACTTGTTATATATAATTATTTTCAATATTACATTTTACACCATACTGTGTAGTAGATTTAGCAAAAAAAAAACATTTAAGTAAGATTTCTATGAAGGAAATACGATAGAAAGCATCTTAAATTATTTTGATTTATTAAATAAAAAAAAAACGGAGTCAATCAATAGAGAATAAACCAAATTACAAAATCTTATATAAAATTTTCTTACCACAACTTCTCCATCAGAAATTATATTAAGTTACAAAACAACTGAAATCGTAAAGCTTGGTACTATTGTGTAATATAAGAGCGACATAACTTCTAAAACAATAACCGTTTAACGATATCGTGAGACGATTTACAATTTTTAAAAATTGTTTATAATAGAATTGTTGCGAATCTATTTTCTTTTAATATAAAACTTAATTAACAATACAGACCTATCAGACCAATCCCTTTGGACAATCTCGCAACCCCTTTATTTGGCTTTGATTTAAAAAAAAAAGTAAGATTTTCATATAGTACATGCTAAATAGATTGAGTTCATTGACTTTGCGTAGACGCAACCTATAAAAAAATGATTTTTGTCGATCAATTTTATGTCATCGGTGTAGCTTGTAGTGATTTAAGAATTGAAGAAGAACAGCTGTTTCAGTTGTAACATACACATGATAGGCCTTGTAAGTCTTAACTTACAGATTCGATTCCTGTATAAACTAAATCTTGTATTAGCTATACATAAAATTATCGTTGTTTGACAAAGAAAAAGGACACCGCACCCAACTTTCAATTTAATGAGTACTTGTAGAAGTCTAGTGTTCAGTTATGTTCATAACATAATATGTTCGTAGAAAGTTAGATATGGATTCATTCTAGAACCATTTATTAGCAAGAGAAAAAAGTTTCAACGGACTTCTATTTCTTCAAAGCTGTTGTAGTGAAGACGTTTCGTTGTTTGTATGATTTAGCTTCTTCAAACTATAGTGCTTTTTGGAATCCGAAGTAAATCTAGACAAAAATCAATTGAAGATTCGTACTATTTCCTACTCTTTCTTATATTTTGAATGATTTATCTAATATCAACCTTATATCTACTGCGCATGATCATCGGCGCGGAGAATATTTGTCGCATAGATTACCGGATTTAAAATCTTTTTGTTATTTGCTCAATTAATATAAAAGTGGTATGCATGGTAATAATATTACTGGTAATACTTAGACCTTATTTTGCTTATCTATAAATTACGCCTTTGTTTTAATAAAATAATTTATTTTTCAAAGACGAATCGATTATCGAATGTACCTAAAATAGCCGACGGAATGATAATTGTTTTTTTCTTATTTTAGAGTATTATCAAATTAATTTTAGTTTATACTCTATTGTTACGTAACACGCCTCAAATCTGACGGCTGCTGGGAATTATTGGAATGATTACTAAAATGTATTATAACATCGGCAATTTTCAAATAAAGTGAGGGTGAAGGTGAAGAAAGTGCAATCCTGATCACAGATTTTCCCTCCAAAATTAATCTTCTTTAAGTAACATAACGTACCAAAAATCACAAAACTTACCCCAGCTGGATCCCGTGCGGCCCAAAACTTGTCCGGTCTCGGAGTTCCATAAGAAAATTCTGAGGGACTCCCATTTTCCCAAGTCCGGTGGGGGAGCATAGTACTGTTCAGCAACTTTCGTCTTGTCTGCCATGGTCGAATGCCGAGCCGGACTGCGGTGCGAGATCGATTGCCGGCGACTTCGCCCCTGTGTGCCTCGTCCCGCGCGCACCTCCCTTCCCCTTGCCCCCTGCAACCCCTATTTCGCCCCTTACGTAACGATTACGTAAGTCGGCGCGCGCACGTACGGACCTACTTCGACGCTATCAACGCCAGCCAATCTCAACCCCTTGCTTCGCCTGTTTTTATACGAAACGTAACACACGGAAGCTCAATATTGACTGGACAAGAATAGGTTGTTTGGCGAATTCTGCAGATTACGCCCACTTTATAATAATAGTGTAAGGATTATTTCCGAGGCATTAATTAAAAAATAAATAAATAAATAAATTTTGTTAGGTGTCTAGTCATCGTTTTAGGATATTAGCTTATAAACGATCAGATTTAAATAACAGCACTATCTATGTAGGTACTTAGTTTAGAAACATTTATAACACTTTATTTTTATACAAGCAAAGAGAAATTACTTATAGGCAAAATATACTGAAACTTGAAAAATGACGAACAGTTGTAATTTTTTTTCTCCCTATTTAAACTTTAGGATATAAATTTTCTTTTGTTCTTAGTTACTCATCTTTTGTCATATAAGAAACTCTAACTCAAGATTTATGGTTATAGAGCCAACAGTATAGGTTGTGCGTTGTCTGTCAATCTCTGTTTGCAAATCAATCTTTAGATACAAAATCAATTTTCATTTTTAAACAAAATGTTTTTGTTATATGTCATAAATGAGATTCAAAGAATTAGATAAAACTAAGTTTATAGCTGTGATACTTTATTACTATTACAATTAAATTTAGCCAAAGCTATATAATTAAAGTATAACACAATAATATTTATAAGTAATACAAACTGAGTACCACTGAAGTATCGGCTTATCTTCTCGTCTCGTCGAAGTTTTCTATTTAGTTAAGTGGATGCGCTAACGAAGAAAATAATTAACAGCTCGAATTAAATGTTTTATTCAAGTACCACGAATAAATGAAATAGTTACAATGTACTTTAAATAAATAATTAATATTATATACTTAAAACTAAATTTAAGCTTGTATAATTAACAAGAGATCAAAATATAAAAATATACGCCTGATTTTTTTCTATAGCAATAGCATTTTCTTCACAGAAGACTATCAAACACTGAAAGGCGTTGAAGGCTATTATAATTAAAATTGAATAATGTAACTAAATAACTTTGTTCATTCTTCAGGCGATTTTATAATAAGTTTTATTATCTAAGCATTATACAATACTATTTCGACTCCCTAAGACTTTTTCTCTTGTATAATAAATAAATTGACAGCTACTCTTAGATTACTTTACTATAGTATATATTAATTCGTTATTTCTTCCTTCTTTTCATTTTTTTCTGTAACTGGAGTATCAGCTAAAACTTCATAACCGGGTTGCGGTTTGGTCCAAGCCTGACAAACACACGTTGGTCCTTGTCCTCCTCCACCGCTTGATCCCTGCTGACCCCCCGAGATCAAGAATCCTTGGCTGATCTGACCATTTCCAAGAGTTCCTTGACCTTGACCTGATTGTCCTTGAAAACCAGAAGAGCTTCCTTGATACTGATTGCTGGCCTGGTTTTGGTTAGTAAAGAAACCTGACTGTTGATTCTGGAACTGACCAGGCTGGCTAAATTGATTAGAGTTTTGGTACACTCCTTGATATGGTCCCTGTGGAGCTTGGCCTTGAGTAAAAGTTTGTCCAGATCCTGCGGGATAAGCTTGGTTATTAAAATTACCACCCTGGGGAAAGTTTCCTGCTTGGTTGTAGCTATTTTGATAAGAGTATTGTCCCTGGGCTGGGCTGGGATATTGTACAGGGTACTGTGTAGGGGTTTGATATCCCTGATTTTGGTAGTTGGATTGGGAGTTCCATTGCTGATATTGTGGATACTGTTGATAGTTGTATTGTGCGTTTGGTGGATACGAAGGCATAGGCTGGACGCCTTGGACTGGCTTATTCTTGTGACTTTGAACAATTTCAATGACTCCACCGATGATCTTCTCTGGTATATTCAAACCACCAGTCCGACTTTCTTTTGTTGATGATGAAGCGACTTCTTGTAAAGTCGCTATGCAAACAACCTAAAATACATTATCATTTTATATTATTAAAAATAAAAAAAAATTAAGACACATAAATATAGTATTAATTAAATTATGCTTATATTTTTTTATGATAAAGTAAATTAAATATTTTCAAAATGTTTAATAATAATAAATAAAAAATCACGCCAATCCTTAACGTAGAGACAAATAGAACAAGATGTACTCGTACTCGTTCTTCATTTTAGCTTTTCTAATGATATACTCCGTAACAATGGTTTTATTTAATGACAGTTCAAAATGCGGTTGTGTTGCATATACAAATTGAGTGGAATCTTTTACTTGTAGGTTGCAAATCCATCACGACGTCATTGTTCGAGGCATTTATCTGATATTTTTTAATTAATTAAATATTAATTAACTCACAATCACACAAATCTTCTGATATCCGTTCATTTTGTCTGAAGAGTCTTCATACATTTGCCGAAATCTTTCCAAGGACACCCTTTTATACGAAAATCAATGACCAGTAGGACCTGAAGGCTAGGGTTGGCGCGGCGCTGCTTAGTAAAAAATATCTAGAATCTGGTTCACTTTCAATGTTAAAAATACTAAAGTTTATACATTTATTTAAAATGTCAAAAATGTTTATACTATATATTTTTTACGGTAAACTCTAAAAACGGATATTAATATATAAGGGACACTTTAATTATTCGATATTAACAAAGTTAATCCTATCTCGATGTTTACCTCCAAATATCTCGCAAACTGTTACTTTCCTTTTTGTCAAGTTCGTTACTATACAATATACGTAATATAATATTATAATTATATTAAAAAAATATTTTAAGTACTCCAGATTCATTTCAGGAACAATTTAGGTCACCAAATTGCTACATAGTCGACCTATTTATTCGAGTTTGTAACAGAAAAATGTTCAAATAGCTATTTTATAAATGTAAATATTACATAATATTTTAAACAAAACTATCTTTTCGGGATTTTTCACGAGAGAAACCATAATTGCTGTAAAGCATTCGAAACGTCGGAAACCAAAAATCAAAATAAATCCGCGAAAAAATCCGAAAATTTTTCGCGTAAATCTAAGAAAGTATTATATTAAATAATATTTTAAATTATAATATCTTTTATAAGCATAATTATCTAATTATTGCTATCGAGTATTACATTATTAATAAAAAAAAACTAAATCTGCATAATGTTTTTCTTAAAAATTATCAAAGTATAATAATAAAAATTCAAATATTTGTTCCAACCCTAATATCACACGTGTCGTAATTTGTCTTCGTATTGATGGAAGAGGCAGCGCGCAAAGTATCTCACCCTGAGTACCGCTATAATGAGTTTAAACAGTGATGTTCGATAGAAGATATCGATATTAATGGTAAGTGAAAGTTTTCATTACTGCACGTGTAGTTACGAGATCGATTATTTCTTTTTGTTTGGTGAATGAAATACAGAATATGGAATATGCCTGTGATTTAAGTAAAGGTGAAATATTTTTTTATAATCTTTATTGCTTTTGAATTGAGCCTATATTATTATTTTTTACGTAATTTCTTTTAGGTTAAAAAATAATTACTAAAAAGTGCAAATATAGGTGGGAAATTCAAAGTAGTTGAACCAAACGCCATTAGCCAGACCGAATATGACGTCAGTATAATACTTTCTTGGATTTAAAACATCAGAGAATATCATAGCAGAGCGATTCGCGATTTTGTTGCTTACAAATTAAGTCGTCATTTCTCTGCTGTCTTATTTAATAGCCAGCACATAGTATTTTCGTATATAGTAATAAACACATACACATGTACACATCTGTTTGTAACGAATGTTTTCCTATACTAATTTCCTAGCTCCAGCCTAATGTTAAGAATTTCTCAGACGTGCCCTATACAATAACTATAGGCAGTAAGATAAGATGTATGTTTGTTGCTATATATGTTTGCATATCACCTTGCACATCAACAAACATGGTGCAAATGGTTACAGATAAAATAAAACCGAATATCGATATTGAATATCGACTCAAACCAATCGCTAGCAATCTCTGTCAAGAATACGGTGATCGGTTGAAAGGGTACAAAGTTTATTTTTTTCCTTTACAACTTATCGCCAATCATTGTCGAAGCACAATTTATTATCTTAACCCCGTTCCGCTTCAAGGAAGTTGCAGTTTAAACTTCATTACGAAAGATAAATTAATGTGAATATAAGATGTTTCTCCTGTTACTTTACCGTAGGTTCTGTCGAGCTTAAAGTCCGATCTGACAACATAGCGCTTCTTATTAAGAAACCCATCAGTTATTATCGAATATTGGTAGCCCTCGTGGTGCAGTGGTGTGCTGCCTGGCACTGCCTAGCTTGCTTCAAACGACGGGTTCCTTACCCGAATCCGACATTATAGACGCATTATGCGCATATTAAAATCAGGAAAATTATCCATTATATACATACATATCTTCTACGATTATATATTATTGTTGGAAATATAAAATCAATTTAAGTAATATGAAATCAATATTAAAAAAACATTCGATTTATGAATAATAAAATGAATAAAACCCAACCATATACCTATATTTGTAATAAAAAATATTGCAACGAGATTAAAGCTATATTAAAAATATCTAATATATAAGTACATACATATCTCGTGTCACGGTGTTTGTGATCGCACTCCTCCGAAATGGCTTTTCCGATTTTACTTACCGACCGATTTTAATTATTTTTTTTCTATATTTGCTAAGTATGAGAATAGGTCGATTCAAAGACACAGCATAGAAGATCTGAGTTTTTCACGCTGCTAAATTAGTTGAATGTATATTAATAAATAGTTATGTACAGCCCTTTTTAAAGTCCCACTGCTGGGCACGGGCCTCCTTTCAATACGAGGGGGATCAGGCCATAGCCCACCACGCTGGCCAAGTGTGGGTTGGTGGACTTCGCAATGCACATGTCTCTCGAAAACTTGCTAGGTCCTCTCAGACATACAGGTCTCCTCACAATGTTTTCTGATAGATGTAGAAATAGTTATATAATGTATATAATATATTTCTCACTCTATATGCCTTGCTATTGGCTGAAAGACATCTCTTTCAAGGGATAAGTCCACCTTTACAAACTTTTATATGAATTAATTTCTGTATTTTATTTTTGCAAGAAAATATATAATAAATCCTGTCATATGAAGTTTATGGGATAGACACGTGGAACCACAGGAGAGAGCCAGTATGTAGTACAAGTATAAAACGACACCGTATGAAGTGGCTGACGTAAACCCACATCACGTATAGACGTATAGTCACGTATAGTCGTTATAGAAGTAGGGTAACTATAATATCATGTACTCGCGACTCACCGTCGCTTCGCTCGGGTTCGTTGGTAGGTAAACTCCCCTACAAATTTTCATCCCCATTTTCACCTCCTTAAGGGATGATTTCCGGGATAAGACTATGCTATATCCTATCCAGGGTCTCAAGCTATTTTCTTACCAAATTTCATCTATATCGGTTCAGTAGGTCCAGAGATTACTCCCTACAACCTCACAAACTCACAAACTTTACCTCTTTATAATATTAGTATAGATGTATATATGTACATGGAAGGTATATCACACACAGTAAATTAAACCGGGTGTAGTTTCATAGCGCTGTTTATTATTATTTATTGTTTCATATGTATTTTAATAAATTAAACACAAGTTAAGTTTTCGATTGTATATATATTTTTCTAGTAAGAAATATGTATATGTATTAAAGTTTTTTTAAGAATAGAGAGAGTAGTACAGTATAGTATTATATGATCTGTGAACTGCCTCTGTGGTGTAGTGACTAGCATGTACAGCTGCACAACCGGAGGTCCTGGGTTCGAGTCCCGGGTCGGGCAAGTTTAGTTATTGAGTCTTTCTGTATAGTAAGTCTCAGTAACAGCCCGGAGTTGGGAAGTTGGCGGTGTTTCACCCCCGTGCCTCGGAGAGCACGTACAGCCGTCGGTCCTGCACCTTAACTCTCACTGGTCGTGTCAAATGGTCGTCCCACCATAATATGAGAGTGACAGGAATAGAGAGTGCACGTTGTGTCTGCGCGTACACTTGAGCACTATAATATCTCCTGCGCAGTTGGCTAGTCTCAATGAGATTGGGCCGTGGCCGGAATCGGTCGGGAGAACATCATCATTATCATCATCATCATATGATCTGTGACAGTACCTACCAAAACAAAAGGCTAGGTGTAATATTTTGCGAATTCGAATAGCTCTTTTTTATTGTACGTTTAACTTATTTTTTTTATTTCACCACAGTCAAGCCTTGTGCCAACTGGTTATATATGCAATTACTTTTGAACTAAAAAGTTACATCAACTTCAAAATCTCTTAAAAGTTGGTAATTATGGGGTATCCACACTATATAAATTTTGAAGTTTTTATAATGCTACCATAAGATAAAACCTATTCATTACAAACCCATGAAATTCCTTCATAATAATAAATAAGGCAAAATATTTGAATTGTAATCATCGATCAAAAAAGTGCTAGATACACAATCAGCGACAAAAAATGTCCTCACCGAATGAGCGCTCAATTGAACATTTGATCGCGCTTTTAATATTTTTTTTTGAAAACAACTTTAAGCATTCATTTAAATCAAATTTCAATTTATATTTTTGTATATTTATTTCAACTAGAATAATTACCTAAACACAATTCGTCACTGTTTTAAGAGAACTTTTGCGTTGTTTTGTGTATCTAGGTACTTTTTTAATCGATGATTGAAATAGAAGCCTGTGAAAATCACTGGAGTAACAAACCTTTTGGGTCCCCAATGCAAAGGAATAAAAATAAACCTAATACTATACTTGTGCTTTTAAAGCATGTACTAAAATTGTAAAAGCTCAATTATAAAAGATACTTTTTCAATTTTATTTAATGATTAAAACCTTTGTAGAGCACTATACTTATACGACGTAACAAGTAATAAGTACTCGTAGCTCTGCTATAGCGATTAACCATGAAACCGGCCCGAACCTAATGAGTCTGGACCGGACACTCTAATTGAAATGGACCTTCGGACCTCCAGCCTCCAGCATAGATTTAAATTAAACAGTTTAACTAGCGTAGATAGAAGTGTAAGTAATATAGATAGATAGATAGATGCTTTATTGTACACCCCAAAGAAATATACAAAAAGTAGATATAAACAATAGATGATGCACAGCAGGCGGCCTTATCGCTATAAGCGATCTCTTCCAGGCAACCTTAGGGCGTAGGAGAAATTATATATTATAATGGTTATGACATCTTCTTTTTTTCCCGTGGTAAAAAGTATCCTTTATGTTGATCCGAATAACTATAGCCACCATACCAAATTTCATCAAAATCCCTCCAGTGGTTTTTCTATGATGCGGTAACAGACAGACAGACAGACAAAAAAATCTAAAAATTATAGTTTCGGCCTCTGTATTGATAATAATATTTATTTCAATAAGATTTTCCAAAAAATATTTAATGTATAGATCCGGCTTAGTTACAATTTTATTATATGTATAGATAATACTGAACTGTTCTTCTGTGCCTTTTTATATATAAACCAAAAATTATTTAAGCGATTTATTTTTACTTTAGATGATTTTTTTAGATGATGCTTTAGGATATTATTATATTAGTATACTCTACCACCACAAATACGAGGTGGGACATTAACACAGCATCATCTAATTCCATGGTAAGCTACGAGACTTGTGTTATGGATACCAGATAGTTGATATACTACACATATATAACTTTAAAAACATACATATTATAAATATAAACACCCATGACTGGAGTACAAACATTCATGCTTATCACACAAATGAATGCCCCCAGCGGGACTCGAACCCGCGACCGCTGGCACAGCAAGTAGGGTCACTACAAACTGAGCCAAACGTGTCGTCATAAGCATGGCGTAGCTTTTTAAAAATAATAACTTTAACTATAAGCTGTATGGAATACATACATGTATTATTAAGCAATAGTAGGATAAAGAGCAAGAAGAAATATATAAAAATCTGTTTAGGACTTAAGTGGCTGATTTCACCAACATCACCTAAGTTTAAGGGATCCCCTAAACATGGTTAGGGGGCTGTTAGGGGACAGTTTCTGTTCACCGACAGTTAGAAGTCACCTAAATGTTAAAATATAGGTACTAGAAATACTGGCTCTGACGATGGTAAAACGAAATTTAATTTAGGGGCTAGTTTAGGGGAACTTTTAAGCTAGGGATCCCATAGCTTATGGGATGTTGGTGAAATCGGACAAAGGTAACTCAATTAAGAGTAATTACGGCTATTATTTAGTTAATAACAAAGTCTCTCTTTGATTGAAACAGAGAACTAGTAGAAGGTGACAAATAATTTAAACTACAATTGCGGGGATAATAGGACGATGGTATGCAATATATGTACTTATGTTTTATACTAATTTTCATACTGTACTTATGTAGCTTTTACCCAACCTCGATTACGGTATATAATAAAACAACTTTTAAGAAGATTTTATTACTAGTGTAATAATTTTATGTAAGTTCAGAGCATTTTTTTTATTTTTTAATTAGAAACTTTGAATACGACTTTCAAAACACACATACTAATCAAGAATTATCTACCTACAGTATATATGACCAGATCATGGTAACTGTATTTTAAATGTAAGATATTACTTAAATGAAAGCCTACACACTGATATAAACTTACTTTAACTTCAGACCAAACTGACTCACAAATTATCAAAACAGTTAATAAAAATTATAGCCCAAACTACAATAAATAGTATCAACATTTGAACATCCTGCCTTTCCGTCTAGACGTGAAACAAAATTCAAATCCGGTTAGAATTAACAAGATTAAGTAAATTATAACAAATTAAGTTATATAACGCGTGATTCACTGTTGCAGAGACCCGTCCCATTATCCTGCGCGGGCGCAGTCGGCGCACACTGCACTCCCGCGCTCATCGTTCTACCCAGCGGGTAAGATTGACCTTTTGCCTAAGTCTTTTGAGGTTATCATTTATAAATGTTCTTTAATTATTTATGTAATTTAATTGTTAGTTAAATTCACCATGTGATGTATAAATTAAGTGAACATTTCAGGTTCAGTTAAAAGAAATTTTATAAAATTTTGGCTCTTCATGACTGAATTTAGTCTACTTTATAATTTTTAGTGGGATCATAATTTTTATTCAAAGGACAAAAAATCCGCCAAAATGACGGTGAAGAAGCGGGTATCAGATTTAACGAGCTTAGAGCGGTTTAACATGTACTATCGAGAGAAGGAACCGCCAATGACTTCTGGGCAGAAGATGAAGAGGTTCGTATGGAACCCAAAGACCAGGCAGTTCTGTGGTAGGACAGGAGCAAGCTGGTGTGAGTACTTTTTTACCGTGTCATTTTATTTATTTTAAATTTATCTTATGAATTTTGAAGAAATGATTAGTTTTTATGTTTCGTAAAATACTCTTTAAAAACCAGATTTTTTTCAGTGTTCACATTTTCTGTAATTAGGCCAATGATCCGATTATTACTTGGAATGAAATGTTCTTTAAATCAAGAAAAATAAAAATGTTAGCACGCAAGTACAAGCAGATTAGATTAAATTAAAAAATATATATTTGGAATGTCTCCAAAAGCCTTTTTTTTTACAAAAGCAAATTCTTGTTTGTTCTAACTATTACTAGAAATATCTGCCCCAATCAAGAACTAAAACTAACTTTCCATTATACTACGAAGATACATCAACAATAGTCCCGATGATAATAATAATCAATATCAATCAATGAATAAACACAAAATTGTCAAAAAAACTATCGTTGACGTACAAAACTTACTTTTGTTATAAAGTTTTGCGAAAGCTATGCATGCTGTCTTATACCTAATTTTTATGTACAAAAGTTTTTTTTTTAATTTCTATTATGAACAGTGAGACTGATAACTGTGGGGCATTCCGCATTCCGGTTCGAACCCACGGCCGCCGGTCGCACCGGCAGGATGTCGCAATGAACTCATTGCTTCAATTCTGCCGCTTCCGCCCATCTTGTGCTCACCTTGGACGAAACTTTAATGCCTAAATCGTTTCTTTTAACCAAGTGTAAAAGAAAATATATTGTGTTTGTTTAAAGTTAGTAATATTATAAAATGCTATAATATGTATATTTTAGCATTTAATTGCTAATATTATAAGTTGTTGTTATTTTACGAAGCAATAAAACTACGGATTGACGTGAGTATTAAAGGATACCTTTAATCCTGTGGGATATCAGCATACTCCAAAAATAATCTATATATATTTATCTTAATATTGTAATATGCAATAATAAGATATGAGATTGAATAATAGGTTATACTTAACTCTCACCGGTCGTGTCGAGAGGTCGTCCCACCGGAGTATGAGGGTGATAGGAATAGAGAGTGCACGTTGTGTCTGCGCGTACACTTGTGCACTATAATATCTCCTGCTCAGTTGGCTAATCTCAATGAGATTGGCCGCCGTAGCCGGAATCGGATAGGAGAACATCATTATCATCATATATTTTAATGAAAGAAATTTTTATAATAGTATTACTTTAAGCTCGCGATTCCGCACGTGGTGCACCAATAATTATAGTCTATAATATCCTGGGATTACTAATAGAATTATCAAAAATCAAGTATAAAAAATAGTTTTTGTAGTTCCAGTATCGACTCCCAGGAGGTACTTGATTACGTTCAAGGTAAATTAGGTATCGATATTGAATATCTTATATTAGATAGTTTTTTGACTTATGTTTGCTTGACAATTGGCTATGAACGTTTTCGATTGTTTAATCTAGTAAAGATAGAAATTTGACAGAAACTCCACAGCAGTTACAAAAAATGTTAATCACCAGAGATTCTGATCAATGGAATGATGATGACATGGTGTCGGTCAAATATTTAATAGTTTTTTTTAACGTTGGAAAATGCAGTTAGGCATACCACCTGCACACATACAGGTTATGTAGGCCTCACCGGCTCGAAGCTAGTACCAATAGAACCTCGGGCGTCGCAAGGTCGCTTATGCACTCGACCACGACGCCCCGAAGACAGATCTTCCGAAGCAGACCACAACCATGGGGTTGCTCCAACAGTCCACTTTGCTATTAGAGAAGTACCAGGAGCAACCCGCATGATACACCGCCCACCGAGGTGGGCCGCCACCCAGTGCGTTTCTTGGCTTCGCGCTCGGCTAGATTACCGAAAACTAATGAGACCCCCCACCATGACAAAGTGAACGCATAAAATGATTGGGAAATATCTAATAGAACCTACCACAAGGGTATTTAAGACATATTACTTTATTGTTATGTATGTATAAGATTATCACTCGTTTTATTTTGTCTGGCAAAAGGAAGTGCGTATTTCAACATTTGGATACTTACTATATCCTCGAAATATAATCAAGATATTATTAAAGCAATTTGGACTGTAGCTCATTCAAATGTTTATAATTTGAAGTTTAAATTGGATAATGCTACAATAATAAAGCAAATCAATAACAAATTTGTTCCTTGCAACAATACATAATTATAATAATAAACTAGCGACTCACCCTCGCTTCGCTCGGATACGTTTTAACGGTTAGTATGAAATACAAATCTTTGATTTACTCGGCTTTTCTGTACTATAATATGTAATAAATTTATGTATTATACATATAAACCTTCTTTTTGAGTCTCTCTATTGTTGCAAACTACATTAAAATCCGTTGAGTAGTTTAAAAGATCTAAACGAACAGACAGCGGAAGCGACTTTATTTAATACTGTGTAAAGAAGCTGTTGGTACGAGTATATCCGCAGCAACAGACTAACGGGTCGACGTGACATTATACTACAGTTTATATGTCAAAAAGTAGGCAACATTAAAATCCTACAAAATCATAAAAAATGCTTAAAAGAAATATATCACTTTAATTTCAAGTATGAAGCGATCAATCACTTCCATTGCCTTGCTTCACAATAGGTTTAAAACCCGCAAATGCCAAGCACTCGTGGCTCTAGTTTCAATGCATATTTAATACTCGTTTTAAGGTCATAGTTCGCAGACTTACTGATGTCAGACAAAATGATCTGACAAAACAATTAAAGCATTATATCTATGTTAATACAGAATTAAAATTTACATCTATTTCTTACAGATTTTGTTTTTCTTAAAGATAGGTATTTAGAAATAATTTGCTTTGTATTTTATTGCAGCCAAAATTTGCCTTTTTTACTTCATCTTCTACTCTGCGCTAGCCATCCTCGTAGCTATTTGTATGTGGACGTTTCTCCAACTTCTGGACGCGAGACAACCCAAGTGGCAGCTGGACAGCTCAATAATCGGTACCAATCCTGGACTTGGTTTCCGACCAACGCCTCCAGAAGTCGCTAGCAGCGTGATCTGGTACAAGGGTAATGATCCTAGCAGTTACCAATATTGGGTGAAGGAGCTGTCAAATTTCCTAAAAAGTAAGTTTTTTACTTTTTCCTTATCAGAAATGCAACATTTACAGATCGGTATTATATACATTATGGTATCTTCTTCAGCAAAATGTATCACACAACCATAAATCCTTACATAAATTCATATTATTTTCAAATAATCATTATAACATATATTTTCCAAACAGAATACAAACGAGACGCGAACAAATCTGGTGCTGGTCAGAACATACACAATTGCGATTTTAAATTGCCACCTCCAGCGGGAAAAGTTTGCGATGTCGACGTTAACGCCTGGAGTCCATGCGTCGAAGAAAATGGTTTCGCATACCATAAATCAACACCATGTATATTTCTGAAGCTCAATAAAATATACGGTTGGAAACCAGAGTTTTATAACAGCTCTGATCATCTCCCAGCAGCGATGCCAGATGATTTGAAGGAGCATATCAGGAATATGACTGCATATGACAAAAACTATGTAAGTTTCTTTTTATTAGTTTTCTTTTCTTCGGTATCAGAATAGTCAAATCTGAACATGTTACTAATCCTTCCCTCGCTGTCAATCCGTCGATTCTACACTTAAAGGGTTGTATCTTTTTAACCATCGTAATTAGGTTATGGTAACCGATTTGAATGTTTACAGAATGTGTGTTATTATGCCCTAACAAATATTAAAAAAAAAAGATGAAAAACAAGAAAAGAGTTCTTATATTAAAAAAAAGTAATTACCTACATAGAAATATAAAATCGAAAAAATGTGAGTAACAATTGTTCCAAGGTCACTTTCAAAGTTGCAACAACTTATTAACAAAAGTCTATTTAAGTGAAACCAAAAAGAAATATATTTTTTGGTGGTAGGTATATGGTACCATCGGAGCGCGAGTCGGTTTGTAACAAATTGTTTCTTTTTAAATAAAATCAAAGCAACCGACGACTGTACCAAAAAAATTCGATGACTAAATACTTTAATAGGTATTTTGATAAAATATACAACACTCGACTACTACGACTCACCCTCGCTTACGTACGATACGTTTTAACACTTAGTATGACATACATAGATAGACTATCTTTACATATATAAAATTCTGAGTCGAATCTGTACATTAAATATTTTTTTGGAAAATCTTATTGAAATATTAATTGTTATCGATACAGAAGCTGAATCTATAGTTTTTATAATTATTGTCTGTCTGGGGACGTATTACGAGAAAACTACTGGACGGATTTTGTTATCTAGGTCAATATAAAATACTTTTTACTGCTGCAAAATATCTCATCTCTGAGAAATCTATAAGTAACGTTAATGATAATTGTATACTCGTAGGTACAAAATGAACAGTTATGCACATCTCGTTATCCAGCTGTTTTTTTTTTGGGTTCTCTTTTTTATACTTTAACCGGATGACACAGTCCCAACAAAAAAAAAATTATTCAAATTGGTCCCGCCGTTTCTGAGTTTTAGCGAGACTAACGATTGCCAATTGATTGTTATTTATTATGATGATGTTCTCCTAGCCGATTCCGGCTACGGCGGCCAATCTCATTGAGACTAGCCAACTGCGCAGGAGATATTATAGTGCACAAGTGTACGCACAGACACAACGTGCACTTTCTATTCCTGTTACTCTCATACTCCGGTGGGACGACCACTCGACACGACCAATGAGAGTTAAGGCGCAGGACCGACGGCTTTACGTGCTCTCCGAGGCACGGGGGTGAAACACCGCCAACTTCCCAACTCCGGGCTGTTACTGAGGCTTACTATACAGAAAGACACAATAGCTAAACTTAGCCCAACCCGGGACTCGAACCCAGGACCTCCGGGTGTGCAGCCGTACATGCTAGCCACTACACCACCGAGGCAGTCAATTATAATAAATATGTATATATACAAAGTAGTATTCATCATTTTTTTCAACTTTAAAATTAAATGTTATGACTAACATTTTACTTAACGAGAAAATATGTATTTCCACATTAACTCTGCGTAGAATGCAGCCGCGGCAACTGTTAAGCTTTAATTACAGTTTGCAAAGTTAATTATGACTCTACTAATAAATACTTTGAATAAAGCACTAATGTAAAGAGTTTCGCACATTTACCTGTAACTTTTGACTAGTTTTCTAAAATTTCTATAGTAGGTACATAAATAGCAATGTTGATAAAATAAAATGAAACAATCAATGGATACTTTACCATTTTTACTAAATTTAATTAACATTTGAGGTTACTCTGTCCTATACGTTAAATGTTTATACAATATCGATACAAAATTTTTGATTGCTGTCTTTGCCACACTAAACAAGTAGCAACCAAATATCTGCATGCTCCTTCTATATAATGGTAATGACCCCCTATCGATTTTTAGTCATAGCGGGACATTCTTTTGGAAGAAGTCATACAAATTGTTTTTGCTGTAGGATGGCGAAGATAGAGAGCTTAAGCGTAAAACCAACAAAGCAAAAAAGCACCAACAAAACATAAAACAATCAAATTCTCAACTTTGGACTATTAATAGCATTTTCCAACTAATTGGAACTCCTTTTATCCTGTTTAGCGAGTTATTGAACTGTTGTTGTTGAGTTTTCAGCATTTATTTATTGAATTTCCATTTTTTTTTATTTAGCTAAACATGGTCTGGGTATCTTGCCAAGGCGAGAATCCGGCGGACAGAGAGAACATTGGACCAATCCAGTACTTGCCCTACCGGGGATTCCCGGGATACTACTTCCCGTACACAAATCAAGAAGGCTATCTCAGTCCACTAGTCGCAGTACACTTGCAAAGACCTAAGAGTAAGTACTAAATAGTTATTTTATATCTTTAATACTGTACTTAAAATAATGAACACTTTAGTACCCACTGGCTGTGTTAATTTAAACCAAAACACTGACCTATCTCTTTTTATTATGCAATAGTGGGTTAGAGGAAAAAAAATACAAATTTTTTCTTAGTACCTATGCAAACATCCACGGGCATTAGTGTATATTATACACTAAAGGCCTATATATATTATTTAGCACTAAGACTAATGACTTGTTCACACTATATGGTTATTACTATAAATGCGAAAAGTATGTGTGTGGGTTTGTGTACATGTATGTTTGTTCTTCCTTCATACTAAAAGGGCTGGACGGATTTGTAAGTTTACACTTAGTGTATTGACAGACTATAGACAAACTATGACCAGGAGTAGCTCAAACGGCTAGAAGCAAAAAAAACTTGTGACGCACTCGAGTGGAGCGAGAGTTGCCAGCTTATAATATCTTAATCTCACTACGCTCGAGTGCATCCCTAGAAGCCTAACTGTAGAAGTAAGTGCCTAGAAGTAAAAAAAGAAAAACTTGAAAAACTTTTTATATAATTTCTATTTGTTCAGGGAATGTTGATGACGCCATCTATTGACGTTGGTCATAATATGAGTTGAAAATTTTAATCTCATTTTCATTATATCTAGCTTCACTGACAAAGAGATAGCAAGTTTGATTTATAATATTCGATATTTTAACGATCTGTATTTTAAAATTTTCTTTTCAGCGGGAATGCTCATTAACGTCGAGTGTCGTGCGTGGGCGCATAACATCAAGTATGATCGGTTCGAAGGCATAGGCTCCGTACACATTGAAATTATGGTAGAATAAATACATTGTACCTTTAGAATTACAGTGGCCTAAGTATAATTTGTGAAACAATGCACATAACAGAATGTGAAATAATAAAATACGGTGAAGAAAAACATCATGCGGAAAGACATCTGAGATAACCTGACTAGGTTCCTGAAAATCTGTAAAGCATACTAAATGACATTTAGCAAGAGGATTCGCTATTAGGTGATATCGGTGACCCACCGTGGATATCAAAAGATTCGAGATGAGATGATTGAGAGATTTTCTTTTAGGCCACTTTAATTTTAGACGAAAAATAAGTCAAATAGTCATATGATTGTTATTTATTACTATATATATATATTAAGTATTTGCTTGAGATTATTGCTGTTGATTTCTTTAGAATTACTAAGTAACATTTTTTGATTTTACTGTACAATGAACATGCGCATGGGAAATGTAAGAATACGTTTTAATAAAATGTTTTGATTTTAGTCGGACTTTTAGTGGAACAAATTAGATACGTTTGGCTCAGTTTGTAGTGACCCTACTTGCTGTGCCAGCGGTCGCGGGTTCGAGTCCCGCTGGTGGCATTCATTTGTGTGATGGGCATGAATGTGTGTACTCTAGTCATGGGTGTTTATATTTAGAATATGTATGTATTTAAAGTTATATATATTTAGTGTATCAACTATCTGGTATCCATAACACAAGCCTCGTAGCTTACCATGGAACTAGATGGCGCTGTGTGTTAATGCCCCAACATATTTATATTTAACATACGAGTAGGTATATGAATATTATACAATAAACAATTAAATAACTGATATTACCTACTAATCTTAAGGTTATCTATAAGTTCGATTCTTGTTTTTTTGTACTGCTATTAGTATTAATTTAATGAATAACAAGTTTTATAAAAATTGGAATAGTGAAACCCAAAGATTCAGTTTTTAACTTTTTTTTAAAGCACTTCAGTGGGACTTCAGTTCCAAGTTTTAAGTGCTCCCATATAAAGTTAGAATCAGGTAAAAAACTAAATAGAATACTTAATACACAAATCAAAGCGCAGGTAGAAAATAACCAAATATATATTATAATAAAAAACATTTAATGTATTTGATAAATTACAGTTGACAAAATCGACTAAGGCACGATACAAATATAAATAAAATTGAACACAGTCTAAATTATGTTAGATGTTTTATCTTATATATTTGCGTCCCATAAGCTTTTAGTGTAGTACTAGCGACTCATCCTCGCTCCGCTCGAGTTCATCACGTTTTAACGGCTAGAATAGATTTCTCGGAGATGAGATACTTTCCCGCAGTAAAAAGTACCCTGTGTGTTGGCCTGGATAACCAGCTGGGTAGTTCTCAGATAGTAAGCAGTTTTATCGAGGAGGCATCCGAAACTAAGGACTAGTTTTAGAATAAAATGACATTTAATAAATTTTGATGTTACCGAGAATGACAATTTGTGAGAATAATGACATTAGTGCGGAGGAAAATGATGCTATGTTACAAATAATGACAATTTCATTATTTAAAGCATAAAATCAATAAATACCATGATAATTTGTAATATTTTTTATTTTTTATGAAAAAATGTTACAGGTAACATATAAAACTTAACACAATAAACATACGTACTTTTGTTATTTTAGAATATTAAATAACAAAATATCAAAAATTCTTCGAATTCATAGAAATTAGATACCTGATAGTCTTACAAAAAATACAAAACTAAGGCGGCCATTTCAAAACATGTTATTAGGGACATTTGAAACTAATTTAGACTAGATTTCAAATGGTTTAAGGTAAAAAACCGCAATTGATGTTTGAAATTACCACCTTCGATATGAAAATCTTTTTTAAGACCGAAATTGTACCTTCTATGAATTCAGCGTTTAGTCTTACGTAATATGATGATAAAAATATTCTTAGAAAACAATCAACATATTTAGTAGAAAAGCATATCTTTGGACGTTAAAGAATTATATTAGGAACTTGTAAGAATCTACCGACTTACTTTTAAATCACATCTTTTGTTATTAATTTAAATTACAACTTTAAAAGTCGAATTTAGACAACTAATTCAAATATCCAGACTTTCTTAATTTGCGTAATCTACTGTTATGATTTCTATGATGCACAATAAAAAATCACAATCAAAATGAAGACACAAATATTGAACAAAACAAAAATAAACATAATTAAGATTAAAAAAAATATAAGTAATTTAGTCAGAATTTTGTGATATTCTACAAAATTCAGGCAGTCTTGAAAATTTAAATTAAAATATAATAAAACTAGCCACAAAAAAAATCAACGGAGCAGAAAGGCACATTAACTATTTTGATGTTGATGGTTTGGTGGTCTCGTCAGATTTTGTTTTTGCAAGAATGGTCACATCGAGATGCTTAGAGAAGCGTCCTACAATTTTTTTTGACATATTGATGTCGTTTAACGTTATATCCGAGAGAATTGTTACTTTTTTATTCTTAGTGGAATTAGATTTTGTCTTCGCAAGTAATGTTAAATCAGATTCGACAATGTTAGATCTTACGTTTTCTTTTTGCAACAGAGGTATACATCCTAAATGTTTACCATGTTCACAAATTTTTGAAGGACCGCAGTCAAAGCAACTCAACTTTCTTAGAGTAGTTTTTGGTTCAGACCTATCCCACAATGCTTGGTAGACAGAAAAGGTGCCTCTAAATGGTTGTAGATTATCTGGAATTAAGCTCGCTTTTAGTAATATGTCACTATCGTTGACTTTTTTGACTATCACCTTTAATCTTTCATTTTCAATGTATCTCGTAATTAATTCATAAAACTGATCGAATGACCCAACGTCTTGTCCATACATGACCATTCCATCTGCCATTCTTTTTATAGTGCCACCAACTCCATCAGGAGCACCTTTTCCGTGACCAACTTCTGAATAGCTCCAAGTTATACTGTTGAGCTGCGGGAAATCATTCTTTAACTGAGTTATCAGATAAAACATATACTTATTCCTATACTGGGAAGATGGTGAATCCGATAAAAAATGTATGGTATCGATAAACGGGTTTAATTTAATCACTTCCTCTATTAAAGGTATTAAATGACCCCACACAGCTGGAGCATCATGGCGTAAGCAATCAACACATGGAAGTTGGTCCAACTTGTCCAGTAGAAAAATTATGTGTATAGATAACCGCAGTATGCAAGGAAACCTGCTGCCTACTTCCACCAAAGTGGAACGACTGAACTTCTGCTCCATATTTTAAGGCATAATTTTCGGAAAAGTCAACGTGTACTAATGCTTCCTGAATATTTAGATTTTCTTTAAGATTCTTGATAGCTTTGTATTGGCTCATAATTTTATAGTTGTGTTCTAAAAATTTTGGCATATCTCTCTTGAATTTCTCTATTGCTTCTATCGTTGTAAGTGTAATTTTTGTCTTTCCTATAATTGTTTGTTTCTTTTTGGTTCCATTCGTAAGTTGTATTTCTTTTGTAACTTTTTTCCATTCGTAAAAAGTACAGTAATTCCTTGAAAGATCTTTATATTCTATGTCATTTGATTTACAGGCCTCACAGTTTCTTTGCAAACAATTTGTATTTATCACAGCACATTTTGGAGAGCACTGCTTCGGAATTTTTCTCTGTTATTATAGACGTTTTATTCAGACCTTCAATTAATAATTCCATATTGAGATGAATTGAGCACAAACAAGTATCCCTGTCGGCTTTTTTTCGAAAAACTACCCAAAAAGGCCGAAGCTTACAAAAAAATGAATAGCTAATTCTAAGATTTGTTTCCATTCGGAACTTTTTGTATAAGTCTTTTAAAGGTAGACACAAGAACCTTTTCTGCATACGGATTTGATTTTTTCGAATAAATTCCTTTTTTCCAGCACATAAGATGCTATTTACATCATCTAAATAGAACTGTTTTACACGTTCGCTTATAGTAGACCTTACACTGGAACAGTTTTCGAATTGTAGGCTAATTTCGGAATGATAATTTTCTAGAACCGGTATATCATTTTTTGTCTCTATTTGTGTCTTCTGCCGTTCCTTGAGTAGCTTTTTTAGTCTTTGAATTTGCTTGCAACGAGCTTTATCTCTTAGCAATATTTTTCGACAAAGCGGCTTTGCTTGTTTTTTGTTTTGTCGATACCTACAAAAACGATCATGTTAATCTACATTACTATTTTACCGCCTACGTTTACAAAGTCTTTGTTGAGCTAGTCTTTTTCACCCAGCTATTATCATAACAAATTTCATCAAATTCTGTCCAGTGGTTTTCTCATGATGCGTTTTCAGACAGACAGACAAATATTCTAAAAACTATAGATACGATCTCTGTATCGATAATAATGACTATTTCAATAAGATTTTCCAAAAAATATTTAATGTACAGATTCGACTCAGAGTTTTATTACATGTATAGAAAAGTCAATGAATTTTATTGGCACTGCATACATTATTGGCATTTTCGATAGAAAATGGGTTAAGAAATTGAGTAAGTTTAATATTGTTATTGTGTTATTTAAAATTATGTCTTGTAGAATAAAAGAAGGCTTGCTTGTATTAAATGTGCACATTAGGTTCCTTCGCCGGAGTACGTAAATTCGTTCCCGGATGAGTCATGTACCAAGTGTTGAAATTTTGGCTAAAACCTCCGATTTCAATGAGATTCGCCACCTGAACAAGAAATAGTGTAATGCAAAGGTATTCAAGCATTAATTAACTCTATTTCCTTGCTCTCATGCTCCAATGCACCAGCAAACTAGAAGGAGATAAGGAGAGACCAAGGTTTTACAACACAGGGCTACTTTTTGAGGTACGAGTTTGTTATACTCACTTCTCAAATGCGGGCTGCTATTGAGGGTTTGTTAACAGAAAATTCAAATAACTCTATTTTGCATAACTTAGATCTCGAACCCCATCCCAATATACATATGCAGCCTAAGCTATTAAATAAACGAGATAGCCATACAATATATATATATATATATATTACTTTGCATTATATGGCCCATAAAAATGACAATTTATTTTGTACAGTATATTGTAGTATATTTTATAATATATATTTTTGTATACAGTTTTATAGAATCCAGCATCACAATCTACATAAATAAGTGCACTTATATTTAGTTCTAAAACATCTGATATGAACCAGCTTCTTATCGCTTAAAGAGAAAAAAAAGTACAATTATTTTAAAGAAACTTAAGGAAATCTTTTAAAAAAATTAAAGATCCGCGATTTTTTGAAGAAATTTTGTGCCCGACTGAGTCTTTGCTATCTAAAGTCGGTTTTTATGAACAAGCATAATATAATCAGTCAATCATAATCTCAAAGTGTGTAGAACCAAGACGTTCCTTAAGACTTTCCGTAAATCTTATATTGCGGGCCCACGCTCTGCAACGAATGTTGATGATCTGATGCACTGAAAAATATTACATATTATTTAAAAACTTAATAATTGTAATATTAAAAAAAAAATCCATATTTACAAATGATAAACCAGTAAAACCATTCGATATAAGAAAATAAAAAATCTCTTAACATAGAAATCTTACTACTATACACATAAATGCGAAAATTTGGATTGATGGATGTTTATTATTCAATCACACCAGAACAGCTGAACTGATCTTGATGAAGTTTGGCACAGAAATAGATTATAGTCTGGAATAGCATATAGGCTATTTTTATCCAGAAAAATGCACGGTTCCCGTGGGATAATTTGTTTTTGTTTTTCACTAGGGCTAGTGTAAAATATGCTCTTTTGTACGAAACCACAAAGCTCCGAAAATTCATCACCAATTGCTATGAATTTTAGAATTATATTTTGTTTTCGTTGGACAAGTTTTTTATGCTATCCACTTTGCTGTAACTTCAAGACTAGATGATAGATGGCGCTGTTACACATCAACTTCTTCACTGTTTAAGCTTTTTCTATATAAATATATTTTGCTTATGTTGGTAATTGGTATACAGTTACATCGAGAGCAAAAGTAAATACTTTAGAGAGTTCCTGATAATATATAGATTATAGATCATAAATGACGCATTTGCTGATAAGCATATACATCCCTTATTACTAATATATTACTTATTACATAATAATATTGTATGTGACCATGAAAGCTTAAAGACAAAAGATAGAAGTACACAATTTTTTAAATCATTTATATAATATTCAAACAACTTACACTTAGGATTAGTTAATTGCACAGCAACTAGAGGGCTGAGGTAGCCTGGAGTGTTATCGTATGGGAAGTAAGTCTGAGGAAGTCCAGGATAGGGCCAGTACATCAGTGGGCCTAAAGCCTCGGCATCAGCTGGCCTCTCCCCTTTACAAGACACCCACACTTTGCGACGCTGCAAGATAAATCCATAAGTAAATGCTTTACACTCATATTTTTGAAACGTAACGTGCGTGCGTGCGTGCGTGCGTGCGTGCGTGCGTGCGTGCGTGTGTGTGTGTGTGTGTCTGTGGCATCGTAGCTCTCAAACGGATGGAGCGATTTCGATGCGGTTTTTTCAATTGAATGCCAGTTTCCTTGCGGTGGTTCTTAGCTATTTTTGGTTATTTTCGGTCCAGCTATATAAGAGTATCAGCTCTTTTCCTAAATTATGTAAGGCATTTTGGCGTATGATTACTTAAGTGCCTCTCGCGTGCCAGTGTAATCGTTAAATGACAATTAATTTGCGTAGAGGTCTTTTTTTAATTTTTAATTTGTTTAAGAGAATATCGTATAAAGTCTACCTACATGTTGTAAGGTAGTAGTTGAATTAATATACTGTAATATATCAGGTGGCATATCGTGAGGGAGGTCCCCGGGATCATCGAAAAAGTCCGGATTCCAATCAAATAACTGGAACATGATAAAAAAAAATTAAAAATAATATATAGCTTATGAAATCTATACACAATAATATGAAACATATAACTTCTAAACATTATCTTTTAATTGCAGAATAAAAAGAATTTATTATTAATTTATTTACTCTTAAGTGACTTTTAGTAGTCACACCAATTATTATTTTCTTTTTCTATTACGCCGTTGTTTATTCAGTACCATTTTAGTATCAACTGCCTGGGTGGTGTAGTGGCTAGCGTATACGGCTGCACACCCGGAGGTCCTGGGTTCGAGTCCCGGGTCGGGCCAAGTTTAGTTATTGTGTCTTCCTGTATAGTAAGTCTCAGTAACAGCCTGGAGTTGGGAAGTTGGCGGTGTTTCACCCCCGTGCCTCGGAGAGCACGTAAAGCCGTCGGTCCTGCGCCTTAACTCTCACCGGTCGTGTCTCGTGTCGTCCCACCGGAGTATGAGAGTGATAGGAATAGAGAGTGCACGTTGTATCTGCGCGTACACTTGAGCACTATAATATCTCCTGCGCAGTTGGCTAATCTCATTGAGATTGGCCGCCGTGGCCGGAATCGGCTAGGAGAACATCATCATCCCATTTTAGTACGGATTCATAGATCATACGTTTACTTTACTATATAAATTATATATTGAAATTAAACTTAGGAATGCAAAGTTTACTTTGCAAGACAATTTTAGCTTCAAGTTAGGACTATGAATCTCAGTCTTACATGTTGCCTGTAAAAAATCTCAGAGTTTTCATTCTAGCAAGATGGGAAAAAGCGTATTAACACAAATACCTATAATACTAGGTATATTTTGTCATTTAAAAGCATCAAAAAAATACTCAAGACATATGTAGTGGAAATCTAAATTTATGAAAATCTACCTTATTTAATTTAATAATAATACATGGGGTCCTATTTTTAAAGCCAAAATCGTTCTCCTTAGAACAAGGCCCCAGCAGTTTCACGTCAAAAAAACAGACTTTGTTACGAGGCGGCTTGGTGTTAC